GATTTCTTTTTAATTACAGGAAATGCGTTTTTCTAAGGTACATAAACTTTTAGGATTGACTGTATAGCCAATACATCCTTAAATTATACCTGCGTTTCTGCCCATTGTTTTTGTGCTGTATTTCTACTGTGATGTATGAGTATGTTTCCGCTAGTATCAACCTTTTCACTGCTGGCCGAGTTAGATAGACTTCTTACTTTATCTAACAACGGGAAAAGAACTTGCCAAAGCACAGCTTGCCACGTTGGCTGGTGCAACAGACTACCGTGTGCGGATATCGTAGAAAATAGTGTTTGACTGGCTGATTTACGAACAGCTGGTCGAGGATCCACGCACAGATCACCTTAAAAAGCGAAATGATACAACACATCCTTATGATTTTTATATAACATCTCATAATAAAATACATTACCTAATCTAGCATACAGACACATCCAGAGTTTATCAAAAGGTGGCATATTTGTGGTGCCAGGGAAATCCGGAAATACAGAAGATGAATCCCCTTTTAGAGACATGCAGAGTTTCTCTTGATTTTGATAAAAATAATCGCTTATATTCCACTGGAAAAAATGCAAATGTAAGTAACGTCACTAGAGAATAAGGCCTATAATGTAATCAATCTGTATGCATCTATTACGTTCATAATCGAAAGAAAAGATTTATCGTAACATGATTGTAATTAACTGTATTCGTCTGACTCTCTTGATAGTAATTTTCGCTTCGATTCTAATGTCTTCTATTATTGAACGTATGCTCGACTTTCTGCTTTGGCTTATATCAAACGAATTCCGTAGCCTGTAATCGAAAGTTTTAACCAAAAGTCATCGAATCCGCGAGGCAAGCTCTGTTCCGGGCTCTTTTCAATTCGTTTCAAACGAAACATACTGTTGTCACATGTGAAACCGATGAAATCATGAAATTTGTCGTTCTTACCATTAACCCGACAGCGGTCAACGATATATTTAATTCTTGTGTCTGAGAACCAAACTTTGCGGCCGTGTCGACGCACAGCGGAAGACATCGCCAAGGCATCACTGGTAGGAAATCGGTTACTACCAATTGCAAGCATTGAAAGGCTATTCGAACTAAAGCTTCGCTGTAAACGATAAAATCAGACGATATTTTAAAAGATACAAGTTTTATTCTTACGCAATGATATTTACCCATGATGATCAGACACTGCTCCAATGATACCAAGTACCAAAGGCCACCCATGATACAACGTTTCTCCTGCTCCATGCAAAACTTGCAATACGCATTCTAACTGACGTTGTCGCACGTCCCCGTGACGAACCGATGATAATTCCGATAACGGTCCTAAGAGTAAGGTCTGCAGTTTCTGCAATGGGAAAACAAATTGTATAAAAGTATAATATCTCTAATAAGAACGTTTTACGATAGAGACGCTTCAATGTAACATGAAAATAAATATACCTGATTATCGCGTAAAGGTTGCGGGTATTTGTGCTGAAGAGCCATTTTCACAAGGTACGTAATAGCTTCGACTCCCCATTCTCTCATGCGAATGTGCGGATGCTGACAAACCTCCAACAAGTGATTCGTCAAGGGCCTCCATAAGACTTCTACTCGCGGTAAATTAACTAAACCCGTCTCTAGAAGTTTGGCCACAGCGAATAGAGAAGGCTCCTAAAATGGTTTCGTAAAAATTTAAGTTTCTCCACTGGGCCGAACTATATTTTAATACGTACTCTGTTAGAATAAGCCAACTCCATAGCTTCGTGGCTCAGCTTGCAAAGTGCGTCTATCAGATGATGCAGCGCGACGTCATCGAGGTGTTGACTGCTCTCGAACAGCCTGCTGAGCATCGCGCTGAGCACAGGCAAGTCTGCCATAACTGCGTTTGTTAGTACCGCATTCGGATCGGCAGCGGTTCGCCCGGCTTTCAAAGAGCCTCCCGTCGAAGGCTTTAAACCGAGTATCCAGACGAGATGTTGTAAAGTCGTTAGTACCAAGTGCCACGCACCGCCGAGTATGCTTCCATGGCAATGCGCAAGCGACAATAAAGCACGCATACATTGCAAATTCTTCGCGGTCAGCATAACCGGCCCTTGATGTGCAACTATACGAGATAAATAATTTTTCACTCAATTGCAAATCAATTATTTCTCAACGTTTTACGTGGTCATTACTACGTACCAACTGGTAGAGACGCGGTAGGCAGCGGAGTACCAACGGCAACTACCTGTTGCCTGTAATCGGGTTCACCGATAGTCACGTTGTACTGAGTAGACTCTTGCTGCCTCGCGGTCGGTATACCTTGAGGAGCATTGTATAATACGGTCAGTGCGTAATGAGGAGGCAGTGACGCCTTGCATATCGCAGTAATGAAAGCATCTCGCGGAGTTTGCAACTCCAATAGTCCGCAGAGTGACGCGAAAGTTTGAATTGATTTTAACACATTTTCAGTCGCAGATTCATCGGTGCTGATAATAAGAATAAGTTGTTTTAATATACATCTAAAATGACGATGAAATAATCTTACCTTGCATCTATGAGAGGACTCAACGCCGCTAATAAACCGCACCAGCTAGAGTTGATCAACTGAGTATGAAGCTTCCGTTCAAATTCACTTGGTTTATAAGAATGATTCCCAGTCACGACTTCACCGGAACCATTGATTGCAAAAGCTATGGATCGTATAATGTCCAACAAGCACGCGTAAGCTATGCTTATACCGTAGCCAGTAGGAATCTGCGGTGGCTCAACTTTGTCAAGCATATCTAAGCTAAAATTTGATAGAAATATTTGTATTAATTTCTTAAAATAAATGTAAGTTCAATGAAAATTACTCACTAAGTTGATTTAGCTTGCCCACTCGTGAAAGTCGCAACTACGGGCAACCAAATACCACGCGAATAGAAACCAGGTTGAGGTGAAACACCAGGTCCTATAGGCATCCCCGTGAATAACGGAGAAGCTGTATTTTGTGGTATCGTCGTGCCTGCCGCTAGCAGTACAAACGAGTAATTTATTATTGTTACAAATGGTGTTTCTTTGCAAACTTACCCATGTTACTTTGATTCATCAGCTGGGGATTAACAAAGAGACTATGTACATAGGCACCTAAACTGTTGACAATGTCTTGAAAAATATTTGTCGCGTGAGGTTTTAAATCGTAACATTCGCAAAAATTTGTAAGGAGATCAGCCTGCACCGTCATTTTATGGAGTACTTCCAAAGCCAAGGCTCTCTGCCACGGTGGTTTATCAGGATCCAAGAATTTAACGATTAAAGACAAAAATATTTCGCATTCCGTCACCTGAAAATTAAATGTACACGACGTTATTAAAACTACCTTCGAAAGTCTGAATGAAAATGCTTACCAGAAGAGAGTGATACTTTTGAATCAGAATAGATACAACTCGGAGAAGTCTCATACTGATGGGAAAGTAAGGTTTATCCAAAGGCGTAGCTTGTTGCAGCGACGCTGGTACCGAATTACGATACTTGATGTTTGGTGAAAATAATTTGATTACCAGCGCACACACTCTTTCCTTTAGCAAGAAGCTAAATTCTGGATGCTGAACGGAAAGTAAAATTACATATTTGTCATGTGTTTATCATTCATGATCGTAATTAATTACCTTGAAAAATACCGACGAAAAATTTGTTAAAACAGATTCTAGCAATTCTAATCCAAACGTACGCGTCATTTCTGTAATTCCAATCAACCAGTAAGGTTGGTCTGCGTTTACTAACTGTACTAGATCCTAAAAAGAAGTCCTCCTCGTTAAAGCGTTTCAAGTGATATGGTAACAATGATCCAGGCAAACTTACTTGAAACATTAAGTATGCGTCAGCAGCACATGGCCCTAAACCCTTGGGTGCCTGATTAGTAGGAATCTTTAGTTCTTCTAAATTTATTTCATCCGAATCTTCATTCTCAGGACTTTGCTCATCTTCAGCGACGACACGTTCAAATACTAACGATACTAATTGTCTGACCGTGGCTCCTGCTGTGTTAATGGTCGTCGAATCTTTCGTAAAGTGCAAGCGAAAGCACAGAACCAAATTCTGAAAATTATATATTATCTGAGACAGATCGAACATTTTATTTTATATAGAGTAAAAATTATGACCATACCCTTGCTAGCGTTTCACCGTGAACGATGGTATTACTCGTTAGTAAAAGAGTCACAGTCTGCAAGACTTTGACCTCTTCTGTTCCCGATTCCATCAACATCCATAACGTGTCTGTAATATACCGAGCACCTTTTTGATCCACAGCTTGCTGCGTGATCAGCCTTTGCATCATATTCAAACAAAACTAAAAGAAGAGAATAATATGAGTAAAGAATAGAAAATATCCTGATGGACAATCATTTGTTTCTAAATATACCTTAATAATTTTCACATCTTTGCTCTCACAACCTTGCACTAAGGGATACAAGATCTGATTGACGATATAATAAATTGGAGCACCTGAGGTATTAGAAGCTGTTCGTATTTTTGCGATCCCTTCTTCACACGACTAGAACGAAATAATTAGTTGATCATCAGATAGAACGATAGTTACACTGAACAGAGGCAAAACTCTGAACAGGTGATCTAACCTGTTTTGTTTAACATTACATAATAATACGCAATTAATTGTGACAAGACCGATGGTAACAACGTACTTCTTTGATTTGTGGATATTTCTTCTTCGTCTCGGAAGCAAGCACTTTCAGGTCGGCTTGCAACGATTCCAAAAATTTGGTAGGATTTTCCGGATTAGCTCCGAGAACTGCGGTTGCCATCGTGCAATGATCTCTCGTTTGTTCTCACAGTGTTCGAATAAATGTCTATTTCATCGTGTGTCAAAGACAATTCTTAATGAACACATATTGCCGTAGAAAAATTCGTACATATCTAACTGATAACAGATGAGTTGGCACGTCTCATGCCGACTATCAAAAATGACAATGGGCAGGTGACAAGCTAATGGGTTTGCCCTCGACGATTTCCAGACCTACGTCATCTTTAAGACGTTCTCTTCGGATACTGATCACTTTAACGTGCTACCGATACTTTGTTCGAACTGTCGTAAGAATCGCGTTCTTCTACTATTATCAATTATTTGCATCTTAATTGCAACACGTTCATGTAAATAATAAACCGTGGCATGCAATCATGCAATGGCGCGTTCAATCATAGAATCTACGCTTACATAGATCGAAATTCCATATGATGAATATGAAAATATATAAATACTCACGCCTTACGACATATGCTTTATAATCAGTTAATATTCATATTAATTTACACAGAAATATCGTATGTAAATCGATTTACGAATTACGGATTTACAAATCTTGTCTCATCTAAGATGACAAATTTTTACTGACGTCGCCCTCATTCCACCGTACAATCGAAGGTTTCCAGTCGTTTCCTGAGCGCGTGTTGAACGTGTTTTCCGCATCCGAAAGAATTAAATCTTTCTCACGAAAGTCCTCTGAATAGCAAAGAGAAGTCTCGCGAAATATTGTATTCGAAATTAAGGAACTGAGTTCCTTACAAACTACCGTCGAAGCTTCGTAATTAATTTGATCCGAAGAACGTTTACCCAGTTGCCAAAAATGACGGCCAGCGGCGATGGACGTAGTGCCCACGGAAAGGCTTACAAAGATAAAAGCAAACCCACCGATATTCGAAGCAGCAACATCAATGCTGCGAAAGGTAGTCGATCGTTCTTTATAATAAAATATATGTACATTATTGCGATCTGTCTCAATCTTCATTGAACGGATCTCACCGGCGGACAATGTCTTACCTTATATAGTCATGTTTAGTACGTGACAATTAAATTATAATTTCAGCTGTTAGCGATGCGATCCGAACTAGTTTGGGCCCTCGAGGAATGGACAAAATGGTAAAGTTAATTCTGTGTATTAGATAAGGTTAGGATAGGATAAATAATTTTAGATTGTTTAAAAAATATCTTTCTTCACTTATCTAGATTCAAGCTAGCAATGGAGAAGTTACTATTACAAACGACGGTGCAACCATTCTGAAGGAAATGAGCGTTGTACATCCTGCAGCTAAGATGGTATGGACAGAAATTCTATTTTTGTTTTACTAGTCTTTAGGAAATTTTTATCTCTAATTTCTCATTTGTAATGATTTCAGTTAGTTGAATTGTCAAAAGCACAGGACATCGAGGCTGGCGATGGTACCACCAGCGTTGTTGTCATGGCTGGCTCTCTTTTGGAAGCTTCAGAACGTCTGTTGCAGAAGGGAATACATCCTACTTTGATCAGTGATGCTTTCCAGAAAGCTTCCACCAAAGCTGTGCAAATACTGACGGACATGTCTATTCCCGTTGACTTGAGAGACAAGCAGTCGTTAATTAGAGCTGCAGCAACTTCTCTTAATTCCAAAGTACATATTTCATTGCATCTGCATGTGGTTCTTATATCTCTATATTATTAATCTTATGTTTTTAGGTTGTCGTTCAACAATCAAGCCTTCTGGCACCGTTGGCCGTAGATGCAGTATTAAAAGTTACAGAGGAAGGAAAGGATAGTACTGTAGATCTTACTGTAAGAAAATAAGTGTAGACGTAAATTACTTTACTATGTACTTCATGCACTTCAAATATTATTACGATTGCAGAATGTAAAAGTAATTAGGAAACTAGGCGGTACCGTCGAGGATACTGAACTCGTTGAAGGATTAATATTCACCCAAAAATCTTGTAACGTTAATGGGCCGAAACGAATTGAGAAAGCAAAGATAGGCTTAATACAATTTTGTATTTCACCTCCCAAAACGGATGTAAGTAACATAAAGAAAAGGGTTGACACATGTAAAATGAAACTCGATTCTCTTCACTATTTCAGATGGATCACAATGTAATTGTGTCTGATTATGCCGCGATGGACCGTGTCTTGAGAGAAGAGAGAGCTTACATATTGAACATTGTGAAGCAGATTAAAAAAGCTGGTTGCAATGTACTTTTAGTACAGAAATCTATTCTTCGCGACGCTATTAGCGATCTCGCTATACACTTCTTAGACAAGATCAAAGTTATGGTGATCAAGGATATCGAGCGCGAAGATATTTCGTTCGTATGCAAGACATTGGGTTGCAGACCGATCGCGTCACTCGATCATTTCGTTGCCGAAAATCTAGTTAACGCAGAATTATGCGAAGAAGTACAGACCGGATCATCGAAATTTGTTAAGGTTCATATGTTAAATTAAGAACCTGATTCCTCTTTCTATTTATGAACAACAATTGAAAACTCGTCTTTTTTATAACTATAGATTACTAAGATACAAAATCCTGGGCCGACAGTGACTGTTCTTGTTCGGGGCAGTAACAAGTTGGTCTTGGAGGAAGCAGCACGTTCATTGCACGACGCTTTATGCGTGGTTCGTTGCCTGGTGAAACAGAAGGCTCTGATCGCTGGCGGTGGAGCGCCCGAGATAGAGCTCGCATTGAAATTGGGAGCATATGCTCAAACTTTGAGCGGCGTTGATGCTTATTGCATTAAAGCTTTTGCAAATGCATTCGAGGTGCGTTAAATAATCTTTGGATAGAAGCGCGCAGTTTCAGAAACAGTTTCTTAAAACGTGTTTCTCTTATGTTATAGATAATTCCATCGACCTTAGCAGAAAACGCGGGATTGAATCCTATCGCGACTGTAACGGAGCTGCGAAACCGGCATGCCAAGGGTGAGCATACCGCTGGAATTAATGTGCGGAAGGGTACGGTAACTAATATCTTAGAAGAGAACGTGATTCAACCGCTATTAGTTTCCACGAGTGCTATTACTCTCGCTACAGAAACCGTTCGTAGTATATTGAAAATCGATGATATCATAAACACGAATCAGTAATATAAGGTACTGCGCAAATTCCTTTTCTCGATTCCGAAATGCTAGTTTTGAGTTCGTACCTTTAACTTTTAATATTTCTGTCTTTAATATTTCTGAATTTAAACAATTTGCTGAGCTAATAAAATCGAATTTGTTTAACATTCTCGAAAATTATTTTACACTGTCTTAAAATAAAATTGACCCGATCCCTAAGCAGAATTTGTCGTACGTAAAATGTCCTGAAAGAAGCAGATTTAAGTACATATGGATATACAAAAATTAATTTAATTTTTATTATTTACTACTACAGAGCATACTTAACTTATGTTTCGTGTAAAAAACAAGTGTAAATCCCGTATGTTAAATTATACTTACAATTTAATAACATTAAACATATAATTCCGTATTCAAACTAAACAGGGGTCTAGATATTTTTTTTGTACATTAAATATATCTATTTCAGTAAATTGCATCGTCATCCGTTCTTTGAATCGCAACAAGTTCAAAATTTCAACAATGATTCTAGAAGCTTTATTACAAAATACGTAATTAGCTTCTAAATGTTTAAATGCAAATTCCTAAATTAAAATTAAAATGTACTACAAATCGTATGTCCAACATTTTATACAAACATTTAATTGAAAGAACGGAAGAATGCTGATTGGCATGTATCACCAGATAGAGCAAGAATAATCTACAACCATAATTGTAAACAGAGAATCAAACGTCTTTCGCGCTTCGTCGTATCGGACAAAGGAGGGACTATTTATTAAGGAGTAGAAATTGCGATAAAAATAATGAGATACAGTCAAGTAAACGTGAGACCAAACCTCTGGGCTATCTCTGGCGTGTGAGAAGTTGCAACCGCGAGCAAAAGGGGTATGTCCGCTGCATCCAGGTCGAGGGCATTCGTTAGATTTGCGACGTTCGCATCGAACACATCTGTTGTTAACAATATTTCAGCCAACGCTTCGCTTTTCAACCACATCTCTCGCAGCTTTGCTTCCAGTATGCCTATACACTGTGATTAAGAAGAAAATGCGACTATATTTACAATACAACTATTCTTCTACGCGATCGATGGTTGGAACTAAATGACTCACCTGCGAGGCTGAATGATACTTTCGCCATAAATAAGAAAAACCCTCGAGCATATTTGAAACGAGCCTCGACATCCCGACTGGCAGCGGTGCTGTGTGCGAAGGCATATTGTTGGATACAATCCCAACGCGCCAAGTATCTATGTCCGCTAAAATACATAGCGATTCGGCGACTGGTTGATCGATCGTAGGGAAACGTGCACCGGCGGAACACTCCTCGCGTATGCAGTACCACCATTCTTCGTTCATTTCACGATCATTCCCATTTGCCTCCTGCTGAATAACTTTCTTTTTTCTCCTCTTCTTCTTTTTTGGCAAGCCTTGTAAAACTAAGCCCCATGTGTAGGACGGTTCACTATTATTTAACCCCCGTGATTCTGCGGCTTTTACTCTGTTTTGTAACAACGTCTTCGCGAATCCTGTATCTTGGTTTAACTCAGTCTTCATTTGTTTCGTTCTGTAATTAAATAATTCACTCGCATTAATTACTATACTCGTATGATACGAGATATGAAGTCAACAAATGTTTCAAATATCTTCGGAAACTGACCGTGGCATGGGTAATTCGACTACACTGTTGGCTTCCATCAAAGCTTCTAAACTGTTAGATCTAGACAATCCGACATTTCCGTCGACCTCGGTACTACCGCAAGTACGTAACACTTCTGTCGCGTTCGTCGGAGTTTCCAGAACCTGTTTGCAAGTCGAAGGCATGTAAGCCTGGCCGTTACACCTTTGGCAAAACCCGAAAGACCTCGAACGCGCTCCAGGCGGTGATTGAATACTCTTCGACGATTCGGGGAAGTTCCTTTGAATAATTTTCCTCAATACACCCTCCGGTAATTGCGCGGACGTGCTCGGTACCGTCGCGAACATGTACGAGCATTGACAATTGTACCCGAGTCTCGGCCTCGACGATGTCTTCATCGACTTCTCTTCGTCGCCGAGCGTGAAGAAAACATGCTGATTCTTCATCTCATTAACTGTACTCTGACCACTTGCAAAATCTGGCCTAGAAGAATATAACTTCAACGTATCGACGCACGAATCGTCGAATTCTTGGAAAGCGTCTAACTTAGAGTTCCTGAATACCTCGTCCAGATCGTCAACTTTTATTTTCTTCTCGAAATTTCGCAACACGAACTCGGAACACTGTTGCACGTCAGTCTTAGCCGCGTCGACGTCTTGCGTACCGATTTCGCTCACTACTATCTTCACTTTGCTCGAGGCGCAGTTCATCTTCTCAATGCCCTTTTCGTCATCGTCGTCGCATGGGAATTCCTTCGAGATAAACTTCGGGTTTCTCTCAGATTCCGATTTCAATACAAAGGAGTCAAGATTCGATTCCAACGTAGTGCTACGTTTCAGAGATCCGGCAGATCCTTCGACTCTCAGCCTCTCGACGTTGTATTGAGGGTAAGAGCGTTGCATGATCGCGTTATCGCACTCCGCATCGTACGAACGTTCCGCGGCAATCTTTTTCCGAGCGGACGTGTCTAACATCCGTCGAGACGACGAGCTGTCTCGGTCGTTGCACGTCAACTTAGGACTGAACAAATGCGGTCGCTTTATCCTCGCTTGCTCCAAAGTATTCGCAGCCTCTTGGATATCGTCCTCGGTGACTAAACAATATTCTTGTCGTTTTCGTACTATTCCGCTACGAATAAAGTACGATAAGAAGGATAAAACCGAGTTGATCAGTTCAATCTTTTGTGGATCGCCCGCGACGACCGTATGTGCAAGCCTCGTGGGATTGCTCAATGCGCCGTACAAGTCGCCTAACTGAGCCCACAGCGGATTGCAGGGATACCAGGTGCCCAATTTCTCCATCTACAAATAAACATTCAATTGAACTATCTGCATAATCATGGGAGCGTGGATAAGAATTTCGAAAGAGATCCGCGTTCATAATATTCGTTCATTTTTATAGCAGAAAACGGGTTATTTACCAATTGTCGATCATGAATTGGCAGTGTAGTGTATATCCAACCGAGATGATATGTTAAAACAGCAGTTACAACAGTACTCAAAAAACTAAAATATATCGGTGTTACTGTCGATCTGAACATGTAATATCGAACACTCTTCGCGAAATTACTCACAAATTGGTCGATTTCGTGTCGATGTTGTCCAGTAACCGACACATTTGCTCCAGACTGTGATGAAGAGTACTCATCTTATGTTCTATTCTCACTGAATTAAGTAGCACGTCGTGCCATATTAAAGGCGTGCGCGAGTTTATGTCCGCGTTAATATTGGTAAGTAGACGCAATAGTAGAACGATTAAGCGTGACGAGGATCTATAAAGCTGTTCAGGAAGTTGAATTCCCTTTTTCTGATCGTTCGTATCGCTGGCCTCGATACAAAAATACCGCAAACGATCCAGCATACCTTCCAACAGAGCTATGTGCTCCAACAGGCGAGCTTCTATCGTTCTGGAACATAGGTTTAATTATAATAATAATAATTATGTGCCATACATCACGAGTATCAGTGAATATGCCAAGTGAAACGTAACGTGGTCTCAATCGATACGAATGGTATCGATGATTAAGAAGCTCGTTAATAGACTTTAATTAAGCTCCAACCTCTCGTGGCCTTCGGACAATCGCACTAGCATTGTTAATCCGAGCCTCGTTTTATGACGTTTAGCACGACTATCTTTATTATCGTCTCCGTTCTCGTTCCAGTATTGCATCCCGAAGGTATCGTCGGTATCCGACCGCGCCAGAGAGGTGGATGCTGCTCGTAACCATCTTCGACGCAGACTCGAGAGACTACCGATACCGGAGGATCCGCTGCTCTCCAGCGATTGCGAACCTGAATTAATGATCGTACCGAATAATGAATACCTTCCGGGGAGTGAATCATCTCTAATTCGGCTTCAGCCAATAAATTGGACTTACTCCCCGTCGGCGGCGGGATGTCTATGTCCCATCCACTGCCGGAACTCGAGCAAGTGGAATTCTTTCTAACATTCGTATTTAATTCCGAGCCTGACAAATTCCCGGAGCTCGGTTGGGACACTGCAAGATTTTATTTTCATTCGATTATACAAATATAGGAAAATGATCTTCTTCAAATAATCGACTTACAAAGCGTTCGCATGCTGGAATTAAAATCCACGTTCACGGAATGCCCCAACCCTTCGTCCGAGACTCTTTCGCTGAAACGGAATTGAACGATGAATCATGTTTCGTATCGATTCATCAATCGTAACGTGGAATCAATAGTCGATTCATTAGAAATTGGCTTACCTCCGCTTGCACACGTTGTGCTCGGTAGCGGGAAACACTTTTGTACACATGATGCACGGTGGCGAATTCAACGAATGGATCTACAAGGGCAAACACGGAAACGAATTCATTTCGTTTCTTTTCTAATTTCAATATGGATAGTAATACATTTTTGTGCGCTACCTTGAACGAGGATCCTTTGTAAGTCATCGCCACGGTGCCAAACACCATCTCGCTCAACAAACTCACGTCATCCTCGGCAGTCCTCTCTCGCTGAAAATTAAATAAATATTAATCCTATCACGCGGATGAAAGCACTATGTACGCGGTGATAGTTTCGCGGAAAGAGAATTCCGTGCAAGACCGAATTTACCTCGAACGTGCGACTGTTTCTGCAGCTGACCGAATCGACGTTCGACGAGCCGGTATTGTTCTTCAGATCGAATGCCGTCGTTTTAGTTTTGCACCATCTTTTTTCCACAGACAGTGAGTCGAAGAGGAGCTTTCTCCCGCGCCATTCGCATTCTCGAAACAATAAGATCCGAACTTGATCCGTTCCGATGTACAACGCGGTATTTCTAAAAACGTTGAAAACGGTACGTGGAGTTATTAATAAGATCGATGAACGAGCGATTAATTTATTATCCTTCTTGAGAATATTAATTGCGACGAGGAAGCGGGTGTTAAGAAATAGGTCGATAGTATTTGCGTGTCCAAACTATTAATAAATAATATTGTTTCGCGTAAATGTACGCACGTGAGAAATCATATGAAACAATGTCTCAATCTTAACTTGTGATCTTCTAATATTATACTGAAATAATATAGCTACGTTTCCTTACGTAACGTTTTAATCTATAGCATGTAATAAATTTAAATGTTAAAATAATTCCGATGCTCTGGCCAGAAAGAATTTCCGAATTGTTATACAATATTAAATACATTTTTAACGAAATTCGATATGTTATCTGAGTTGGATATTTTTATTCAACAACTTTGATTAAAATTTTAAATTCGGTCAAGAGAAGACGTAAAGATTCAATTATACGAGTACGACGAATACGTCGAAAGATACGAAAAGACAAGTATTTGTAGCGATTAAATGTAGAGGTCAATTTCACGGCTCGGTACGTAAGCCGAGTCACAAGAGAGTATGTTAATAACGAGGAGATTATGTCTCCCGCCACCGAGCAGATAGAAACGAGCGTAACGCATAAAATAGGTTAAGATAAATCAGAAACGCTGTCTTTTAAAAACGAGTCAATGGACACGTTTAATTGCTCATTTTCTACCGAAAGAACTATCTTTCCGAATACGAATGAAAACGTGATATTTATTAGAACGTCGCGAAATGACACCGATCACCGATACGCTATATCATCAACAGATATCGGGGCAATGAATAGGATCGATAAATATAGAACGGTGACGATGTAAAAGTGGCAGGAGCACGAGATGAATGAAAACGTAACGTTCGGGTTAGGTATAAAAAAGACATGAAGCGAACGATGCTAGTTATCGCTCACCTATCATCGTCTTCTTCTCGCTTGACGTTCGACGCTACCAAAGTTTGAACGTTCCTTCCAATGTTCTTCCTCGAGGGGAACAGTTTATCGAGCAAAGACATCATAAACTAACGACCGGTTATAGCTACCGCATTGCTCGCTAACTTTATTTCGTTTTCGGTCTATCATGTCACAGGGAACTGCACCATACATGTTCGCGAGTATCAGTCAACTGTAAATAAAGTCACGTGCGGAGGAGTCATATGATTGCCCGAGATTATCGTTGTCCGTCGTATATACATGGGCCCGATGTCGAACGAAATCTTTTTCCGGCCGTTTCCGCCCGTCGACGCGTCGCGATTCGTCGAAATTTTACGCGGGCCGGTGACCAGGTTCAACGAAACGTCGATCGGAATTCCAAAAAAATGATTAGAATCGCTGTAAAAAGGAACGGGAGTCGCGCGATCCGGGATCGATTATTGACCGTGTTCCACCGTTCTCCGTTTTACCTTCGGGAAAAGTTCGCCGGTCGCAGCGCGAGATGTCGGTGGTTTTAACTCTGAGAGCGCGGCGAAAGCGCGAATCGTTCCAATTAATTCAATTTGAACGGAATGACAGAGACAAACGTATATCGACTCTGTGAGAAACTTTAATTATAAACAGACGATTTTTTTGTCGCACGAGGATCGTTGCTTTGTTACGAATTAAATTCAAGTAACGTTACAAACATCGATGAATTTAATAATTAAAGAAAGGAAGATCGTCGAGGGTTTAGATGTTACACATAAAGTCTAACTCCTCCGCTTCGTGATCGTTCGGGTCTCGACGTACGGGGACACCAAAATCCACGTTCCGACGCATTTTATTCGCTAATATAACACGATGTACGTATTCTGTATCTTTGATATCCTCCGACGTATCGAATGCTCGTTTGATATAATTTTTATTCGACACTGGCATGTACACCGGATACTCGATATCGAACGATATGATCAGGCAACCTTTTTCCTTCGGATTCTCCGGCAACGGTAATCCTTGGCCAGGTATATGCTTCCGGTAGTCAGGCCTGTCTCGCACAGGCAGCAGGAATATTGGAAGATTAGATGAATCCTCGTTGTTAAAAATCAATGGTAAACACTGATTAAATTCATCCGACGAGTCTCATTTATTTTCAACGTAAAATAAGGGTGGAGACGAGGAGCAGAAAGGATGAATCGGAAATGGGAACGTACGTGATGACAGACGTTAACGGTATTCGAAGGGTTCTGTCGTCGAGGGTGTTGACGGTGACCACTGTTCCGGTCAGTGCCTCTCGCAGAAAGATATCGACCGTCATGTGCAAGTCAGAGCCCTCTCTTCGGAAGGTCTCGTGAGGCCGATCCTCCGTGATGAAGATTACATCCGCTACGCTGACGTGCTTTGGACTTGAGCAAAGACATTATGCGAGTCGCCGCTACGATTAACCCATTTCTGTCCGCCGCCGGGATGTACGATGCATTTTAAACGCATCCCTCGCGAAAATCGAATCGATACCAGCGAAAAGGCTGTTGCTATGCTTACCCCCGAGCGCGGAATTACCGATAATCGAGCGGGGTTTAATGCCAGTCTCTCGGACAGGAACGTTTTAATCGTTACTACGGACTCTTGCGCAGGGCGTCGATCGAAAAAATTTAAGAGTAATCGTTCGAACGAAGTATTCTTGCTGTACGTCGACGCCTCGAATAAAATTATATTTTTATCAGGGTTACCCGGAATTTTCGTGGGTCCTTGATCACCTTCCTCGGGAAACACGATCCTCGTCCCCGTTGGAATGCCCGGTTTAATAGGTATCGTCAATATTTTCTCCTTCGTCACCGCCTTCGATTTGTCGTCCCCTACCAGTACTAATCTCTGTATCTTCATCTTCTTGATTCCTCCGAGATACACCTGGTCTTACGTGTATTAAAAAACAAAAATTTGGGTAGGTACGAAAAGGGAATCGGGCGGTGTGTGTGCCCGTGTTACGACGACCCTTACGCGGTGATTAACAGCGAAGGAAAAAGAAAGACTATAAATAAAGTGGAACGTCGATACGATGATACCTCCAGTAGAGTTAGGTATAAGGTTTTTATCAGAGGCTCCTCCTTGCGCTTTGCACCGCGCCCCTCGGGAAATTCGAGCAGAGACGGAGATTGCGTTAGTACGTAGAGGAGATCAGCATAAGGACTTTCGGTACCGAAGAACTCCCTGCAGAGACGAGCAAGTCGTAGATAGACCGAACCGTAAATATGCGACATTTTCGAATGACTGTTAAGTGGCCTTACCAGTGTGAGATCTAAAAAAATTTTTTTTTGCATTTTCAAAAGTTTATACCTTTAAAAATTCCCAAAAATGGCCTAAATTTTAGGCGGTCACACTGGTAAGGCCCCTTAAGCCGTACAGCGTTAAACGAAATTCGAAGCCGTCGGATTAACCGGCGGATCGATCGATCATATGTGCATGTCGGGAATATGTTTGAAAAACGATTCTACGGAGAATACCTGTAGGTACGCATCGGTTCACCGTGATAAATGTACGGCTGGATGAATCCTTCGCCACCGGGAACACCATTTTTAAGGCCTTCCTCGCCGAATTGATCGTATATGGTTCTTTTAAAAGGATCCGATAGCACATCGTACGCTTCAGCTACCAAACTGAATACCGTGTTCAAACATTCGTCCTTCGCCCGTTTTGGATTGTACCGTACCGCCAGGCGCCGGAACCTGCGAACGAGAATTCTGTTAATTAAACATATAGTGAATATACAGTGAATCAAAAATTTTTCAAAAGCTTCCACTGACGCGGCTTTGATCTCCAAATCGTCGCAGTCCCTTTTCAACGACAGCACCCCATAGTAATCTATTCCGCGTTTGTCGCACGCACAAATCTCGTCGCACGACATGCCTCTTTTTCGTATTTTATTCTTATTTCTACTGAAACATTTGAAAAACAAAGAAATAACGCTGTTTGTAGGGGAGTTCGCTTGTACGAGTGGCTATCTTCCGTCGGCACGCGTACACGGCTAATGTCATGATCGACGAGAATATAAAAAAGAAAGAAAATCGACGATTTTTCAAGTGTTTTCAACAACCGACGCGAACCTCTCGACAACGAAACATAATACTGTCTACGCTCGTCTGTTAGCTTGCGTGTAATTATTAGACGTCTCATGTCGGACATTTATTGTTGAGCGGTGGGCCGTGATTAAACGAGTATTTATCCGCGCTTTTAACGGAAACGAAAGGGCACTCATGGACGCTTCTGAATTAATTCTGAATCTCGTGCAGAAAGGTAAGAGTTGAAACGCAGAATTGCTTCTACGAGCGCTCGCATTGTTGTATAGATTTTCTAACAACGCGTGAAACCGGATATAATTGGGAATAATGCTCGACCGACTTTTTTCCCGTGGCAATACATTTTTGTTTCGGATCGGCGCACTTTATTGGACGATCGATAAATTTAAAAATAAGATAGACACTTTTAAGGTGTCGTCCGCGTAGCGAAATATCGGAGTATCTCCGTTTCAGCCGCGATCAAAGTCGAAGAGAAGGAGAAGAATTCGAGCGATTCCGAATTGTCGAGCCGCGACCACGACGATCCGCCGGGTGGCAATTCGAAAAATTCCTATCCCCGCGATTACCACGAGAAATCATGCGCGGATTGCAAAAAGGAGAGACCCGAGGAGGGGGCGTTCAAAGTTTCCTTGACGACCACCGACGGAGATCTGGAGAACGATAAGGGGACCGTGTCGAGGAAGAAGATCCGCGTGGAGACGAGGCAGATTTGCGGTAATCGCGAGAGAACCGACGAGGAGAAGATTTTCGTGCTGCAGCAGCTGGGTCGATCGCAAATACGCCCGGAAGGATTCCCGGCATTTCTATGCATCGACGGGAGGATCGCTGATTCCAATGGCGTTAAACGAAAAATCCCACGACCGGCGAACGCTTTCATGCTGTTCGCCAACGAGTGGCGGAAAAAGCTTGCCGCAGAAAATCCTCGGGAGTCCAATAAGGATATCAGTGTTAGGCCAGTCGATCTTTATTTCCCATCCATAACGACGAAACTATTGTTTTCCTTCAATTTCTTCATTTGGATACATTAAAAATCGCTAGCAATAAACATGAAATGAATCAACTTCTTATCGCGTGCAGGCTGGGTGTACTTTGGAAGAGCATGGCGAAAGACGTGAAGGAGAAATACTTCGCGCTGGCGCGGGAAGTGGACGCCGAGCATAAGAGGAAGTATCCAGGTACGCTTTACGCCTCTAGTTCCCGTTCAAACCGATATGACCTCGTTCTCGTGATTGTAACGGGTTCGCCCAAAGTTTACCGATACCGCTGAACTTTCGTGCCGCACGGACGACAGCAGCGCGATAATTTCTTGCATTACCGCCTTGCAAACGTTCGAAGAAGGGCTAACAATGATGATCGACGTAATTGCGAGACGGATCACACGAGTTTCTTTCGCTCACGCAGCGGACGGTTTGAATGGATTCACCGTGCCATTCAGTGTACAATGTGAATGAATTTATACTTCTTAAGGGGCCTTACCAGTGTGTACCTGTTTCAGTTATAGTGTCAGCAAATTTGAAAAATACTATTTCGAGAAAAACGCGTTTAAAGTATTAACTATTACATTATTACTTATATTATATTAATACTATTAGAAGGCTGCCACTCGAAAACTAGTTGAGATGCGACCTCGAAATTTTAATATGATATTTTTAAAGGTATAAACTTTCGGAAAATGCAAACAAAAAAATTCGATTTTTTTTTTAATTTCACACTAATAAGGCCACTTAAACATCGCTTTTGAGAGTGCAGTGTTTTCACATAATTATTTCGAGTTCATGTCAATTCCCATTAACACCGAACACTGCATGTGATTTTCAAAAATCTGTGCCAATATAGCATAATATCTATGAGATCTATAATTGTTCGTCGTTCCAAATAAAAAAAGGGTTCGATGTTATAAATGCTCGTTGAGAAACGTTCGCAAACCGTTCTGAACGTGTCAATTTTCCTCGACTAGTAATATTTGTCAATTTCGTTTTATATAATTCAGATTCGTTGGAAGCGACGCATGATTTCCTTTTCGTTCGCGGTGCCCTCAGAGAACGTTAACCGGGTCCGGGGAGCGTAGGACATTTGGCCGCGCGAATAGCAAATAACGCGGGATATATGAGGAATAATCGCGCTTGTCGGGTGGGTGTAGGTAGTAGGTAGGTAGAGCGCGGTCGTGTATCGGGCAGGTTCCTAGAGTCGCGTCGCAATCAATACCTCCGGTCTCTACTGTTCCCTCCCGTCCTCCCGGTTTTCCCCGTCACTCACCCGAGAATATTTCTCCGCTTGCCACCCTGTGCCCTGTACCTCGGCCCGCAAAACTCGGTATCGCCGTCCCACCCACAAATCGACGAGCTATAATCGCATTTTAGCTCACCCACTCTTCCCCCCGTCGCCCCGGCCCAGTGGTTCGGCTCGGTCTCTTCCACTCTCGTCGGCTAATCACGGAATTCAGGACGAAAAAAAGCGTAATAGGTCGCACGCATACTCCGGAGGAAATCAGATGAACCGCCCGCTGTCTATCGCGTAAATATCCGGATGCTAAAATCGCTTCGGACTCGTATCGATCGCTCTTGTCGCCGCGGGGCAAAACGAATCCCAGTGAAAAAAACGGATACGAACAATTTTTCCCCTTCCAAAAACGAACGCAAATTCGGGTCGGCTGAAATGACGCCGGCTGAAGTCTTGCAATTCTTCTCCGTTCGGCAGACAGGAATTTATGCTAATATCTTCTGACGATCGCGCGGTGAGCATTTATAATTGATTACTGTTTTGATTATGCCGTTTATGCGATTCGATGCACCGGCGCGGTTCGGGCGCCGGACCGAATCAAGAGACATTAGATCAATTTTGTAGCCGCCGCGGGGACTCGAGGCCACGCGCATGTTCCACCATTGTAACAGTCTTAATTAATGACGAATAACCCGTGAATGCTGTAGATGAACCGATTCGCTGAAAGCAAATAGTAATTGCATATTAGACGGATCGATGATCGCCGAGGCCAATATATGCCTCGCTCTCCAATGTAATCGCACCCTGTTCCCCATTATCGTGTCTCGGTGTGCAATTAACGATCGATAATTAATTAATTAAACCGAAACTTTGGTCTCAAATCTCACGAATAATTGACAAAATCGTATATAGAATATTCTTCTGTTCTACGGTAATTTTTATCATCTATCAATTTCGTATTTCTTGTTATTTTGGTAATCAGTGAGAGAGAGAAAGGATCGGTTTCCCGCGAAACGATAGCCACCTCCAGCTCGGCTCGGAGAAGGGGTGCAAAGATCCGGGGTAAATTCCTTGGTAAACGTTCGCCGCGCAATCGACGCCGGGCCGAGCCGAGTGGTCAATTAAGATCACCGGAAAGTGTCGATACGCTCTGCGCGAGCGTGTCCGAAAGGACTCGCGTGCATCTGCGCGACTGCATTGCACGCGTTTTACACGCGAGGGTGAAAGAGGGGTGACGCACGGTCGCGCCGAGGGAAGCCGTCGAAATGTCGAGGGCGGCACACCGTGCCGCACCGCACCGCGCCGCGTCGAAGACACGCGGGGGTGGAGGCGTGTGCCCCTTTCGCTCCCTCTTTACATGTAACGATCGCCGGTCATCGATCCGCTATCGCATCGACGCGATGCTCGCTCGCTCGAGAGAAGAGACCCTTTCGTCTCCCGCCGACGACGTCAGACGGATTTTCCTTCAAAAGGATTTTCACGATCGCTGCACCGGCTAACTCCGTCAGATTTACGAACGTTCCATTCGAATTTCATATCCGGAGCCGTGATTTTCGTGCCGGTTTCGAAATAGGCAAACGAGGTCCTCTCGTAATTGGACGAAAAAAAGAATTGGCGCGTAACGAAGTGCGGAAGAAAAAAAAAATTACTGCAGTCCTCGCGGCAAATAAATTTCAAACTACGGGAAACAGCTAATCCCGCGCGCGAACTTTTTTACGGTTATGCGTGTACGTCGTAGTATAAAAAATATTCAGCTTCTATTTATAGCCAGATCCTGTCCGTGGCGAACAATTTGTAAGCGAGTAACGTTGTAGAAAGAAGACGATTTTAAAAATGCGTAAGACGAATCTCTGTACGTAACGAACGGTGGCTGTTCGACGGTGGAAAAAAGGGATTTATGAAAAAGTTCGACGTGGACCGGAGCACAGCATCCGGTGGGAAAAAATCCATTTAAACGTCGAGTTCGAACTCTCTCCGGGGGTAATCGATGAGGCTCGGCCGAGTGGTGGGACGGTAGCAAGAATAACACGACACCTCGATCGGCTCTTCTCTCCTCAACAAAAACACGTTCAATTTCAAGTGAGACGGATCCCTGCTGCGTATCAAGGATCGAGCACCAGAAACCTCCTGGTGGAATCAATAGCCGACGGGAAGGAAGGTAGTTTCTTGGACATACATTTTTCGCGCAGCGACTCTCGCCTCGGAGGAGAGAGGAACTCTTTTTCGTTCTCTCCTCATCGCAGCGGCGGCGGCGGCGGCGGTGGTTCGAACGGTGCCTCATTCCTTTCGGGGTGGGGAAAAAGCCACCCTCCACCCTCTTCCGCTGCCCTCTCGCTCGCTCTCCCACGGGGGTAGCTTCGTCGATGACGAAACGTACACGTAAATTCGTCGACGTGCACGGTGCTGCCCCGCTGGCGAAATCAGTGCGACCCAAGTGCACCGCGAGGCAGGAACGCGGGTCTCCGGGTGCGCGGCCTGTCGTTCCCGTGCGCGGCACGCGCGCCTCTTCCAAAGAGAGGTATCAACCCGTTCAGATAGCGGGTGACTCTCGCGTTAAATAGGTCGCCGGGTACGCGAGAAGGAGCTGCCCTGGCTTCGTAAATACCCGAGAGTCCGTAAATATCGAGAAGAGACAGAATCGACGGATGGTTCGACACAACATTTGGCCAGTAGAACTGAAAGCGATCGTCAGACCAATCGAACGTAGAGGAGTCGATGTACGACGGTGAGAGGTGTTCTACCTGTGTTTACTACCTGGCGAACGGATAGCTGGGAGGCATCGTCGTCGATTAGAAGCCCATCGAACGGACGGGAGGAATAATTTTGAAAAGTGATAGACGGTGACCGGACAAATATTGAAAATGAAGAAATGAGGAGAAACGATCAGTGCATTAAACACCGCGGCTTTTGCATTGGAGATCAGGTGAATAATTCGATGACACGGCTTGGCGTTTGAACTCGAGTTTGTGAACATTGGTAATATCGTCGGTCAGGACGCGCGGGATGACGTGAAAAACGCTCGGAACTGAGTTAAAACGTGGCGAGACCGCGGCGACACGCGGATGGAATTAAGTTGCACGACGAACACACGGGAATAAACTATTTGGTATCGATTGACGGAGACGAAGGAGCGTGTGTATTCGAGATGCGTGGCGGTCGAACGAATTAGAAGGGAAAAACGGGAGCGCGGGAGGTGTTGAAGGAAGATAAAAAGCTTCGAGCATCGATCTTGCGCCCGATGCAGTTACTATGACGCGATACGTGCGGCCAGTCCGGAATCGACGGGATCTCGCGTGGACCTCGAGCAGGGGCTACGGTTCGGTGAGCTCCGGTTGAACGATGACGACGACCGCTGGGACGAGGACAACGTCGCCGGTGAAGACGATGACGACTGATCGCGACGAGACGGGACTAAAAACGCTGGGTCTTCTCGACGGAATGCAGGAGGCCGATCGAACGCCACCCGATGCACCTTCTTACGTGGTCTTCCCACGTAAACCTCGTTCGGTGACGTGCATCGCGAAACAATAAAAACGAAACGGAGGACAGACGAGATCTAGAGGGGGGAGAAGGGGCCAATTTTCCAATTCTTTCGAATAGAATACAGAGGAAAAGGGAATAGACGTTCGTCGAAGGAGGACATCGGTGACAGAACTTGACTCTGGTTACGCGCACGAGAATAAGCTGTTACCAGGATTCAACGTGGGGCCGATAAGGTCCGCCGAGTAAAGAAGTCGTTCTTTGCGGCGCGATAAGGACCGCCCTTGGCACGTAAAGATGGACTGCTGCAACTACGTCGAGGCATACGCGCCGGGGGGGCACTTTTATCAACAACACTACTTTTGCTACGATAACGTGAACAACGAATACGGTGGCTACGAGCCGCCGCCGATCTCCTCCGCGATCGAGACTTCCGCGAGATACAACGGAGCTGTACCGCCTGCGTATCCTACAGGTAGATCTCAGAAACATCGGCAAACACGTAATCGATCTAGTGATGTAATGATTTTACGATTCATTAAGAAGGTACAGAGAAACTAGAGCATCCGTGAAACTGTAATAATACGATCTAACGCGCGTGCGTAGTAGACAACGCGATGTCACGCTGCTCGGTTGTATGTTGCGATATTAAAGAATATAATTCGTGTTGGTAAACATCTGAGTCCTCTCGAAGAACCGACGACTGTTCGGGAGAATCAGATCGCGTTTGTACAGTGACGATTCTAGCGACGTTCCACGATTTACATTTGTTATCTCTCTGTTCACACAGTGAGATCGTGCAAACCGAGAGTGGCTCGATCGAAAACGGTTCGTGGTTTTGAATAAGCGTTTGTCGACGATTATCTCTACTAATATTAGACACGTTTACCTGTGTAGACTACGTGTACAATCCTAAGGAGGCGAGGCTACGGAAGGCGATGCGCGAACAGAGCCGTGAGTTGTCCAGGCGATCGATTCTCCAGAGCGCGATCGCTCGAGCGGGCGTGATCACCGGTCCGGTCGGCGCCGCCGGCTTCCTGGATCAACAGCACCGCGTCGGTTGCATGTCCACCGGCAGCTTGCCGATGAACTCCTCCGTGGAGGCGGACCGTGTGGAGCCTTGGTTTCAGTCGGCGTCCCGCCCGAAGCTGATCCACTCGCCTCGGATGACCGACTGGTATGGGAACGTGGCGGATCCCATCGAGAGACTGCAGGTGATGAACGCGATGCACCAGCGTAGCATGGAGAAGTGCAAGGACGTGATGAGAAACCAGGCCGGCGGCCAAGCGGCCAACGCCGGCGACTGCGGTGGTGCTACCTTCTCGAACGGCGGATACCCGATTGATTTCAGCGACGTGAATCGCGAGAGAGAGCTGCGTAGAGATAACATGGAGTACAGCGAATTCGCCGACGGCCAAAAGTGGCATCCTTATCAGGTATTTTAATTGCTAAACTATTTCCTATTTACAACGACAACGATTCCTCGGAGATGGATTGAAAGATGGTCGATCTTGTAGAATGGCGGAGGAGCTCATCAACATCCCAGGACGTCTCACCCCTCGCAGATGGGGAACGTCGTTCACCCGAGCATACAGAGTCCTGGCGCGCACGGACACGGACCGTGGAGCCAATTCTGCCACAACGTGTTGCCACGTAAGTGGACGAGGAAATTGAAATACAAGAATGTGACCGATCGATGGATTATCGTTAATCGTTATTGACAGACGCGCCGCCGATGCCTCGGAACGTTGGAGTGCGCGGGCCACGGCACACCGTGCTGTTGCGAGACCGTCTGCCCGCCAGACATTGCGAGTTCTCCGAGGAAACAGCGCGGATCGCGTACACACAGAACAAGATCGACATGGAGAACGTGCGAGCATCGTACACGCCTCCCGAGCATCAGGTTTCTCTCGTTTTCTGATTATAAAGAGAAATCAGATTTTATAAGTAACATTGTTAATGCGATCGGAATTGTTTCAGATGCCGAGACTACTCGAACCGTCGGTAGACTCCGTCATTGATCCCCCGACCTCGTCGAGGATCCGCCGCGAGGACGACGGTCCCAGGTGGGAGCCGAGCGCGATCAATAATAGAATGTCCATGGACAATTTGGCTCCGGCACCGGTGAGCTTCACCGACTTATAATTAATTTACGAACATTTATTCGAGCATGATCCTCGAAACCGTTCGCCATCTGGTCAGATGTGACGTTCATCTGCTGACAGTTACGCTATTATTAATTCTTGATCGATCAGGAGGCGAACGTGCAACGCGAGAAGGAACGCGAGTCCCGGCGGCAAGAGAGATTCGAACCGAAGAAGAAGACTGTCAGCAAGCAACCGCTGCCCGGTTTTCATCAAGCCTTCGGTTCCACCGAGATCGGGAGGTTCTCCAGGTCGGAGTTCTTCGTGAACATGGTCGGCGAGAGCGGAGGCAGCGTGGAAGTCGCCGACACGGACAGCGCTAACGTAAGTACAGATCGTATGTCCGAGGTAAACGGTGCTGCGGTCACGAGTCACGACGCGTCGTCCGTGGTCACGGCTACCGCGACGGCGACCGACGGCGACGACAGCGAGGAAACGAGTTTCGACGAATCGAACGGAGAGCTCGCCGTCGCCCCGACGTCGATGGGAATCTATTGCGACCAGCCGAGCACCCCTCGTTGGCACAGTCCCCATGTGGGCGCCATAGGTAGCGAAATTTAAACGGATCTTTAATTCTTTCGCGGGCTAAACGATTTAAGGGCCTCCTGATTTCGAGTCTGATTTACTCCCTTCGTCGAACGTCTCGTCTGATGTTTTATACGAGATTCGATTACTTTCGTCGCGTCGTGCCGAACGTCGAATGGACGATAACAGATTTCATGGATCACAGTAGTGTACGGTCGCCTTCGCTGTGATTCTCAGCCCGGCAGATGTACTGCTAGTAACAATGAAACTGAGTCAGTTCAGGCTTGTGTTAATGTCCCCTAAAATTCAAAACGAGTAATAAGACTATGTCTTATCGTATTAAGATGTCAGATCGAGCATTGAAAAATAAGATGTAGACTTATTACTCGTTTTGAATTTTGTCGCCGTAGAGGAAACTAACACAAGCTCGAGCTGGCTCAGTATCATTGTTACTAGCTGTACGAACACTTTGCGTAATTTTATTTCTGGGCACGTACCGTGGTTCACAAAAGAATATTCAACTGTTGCGTCCAGAGAAAGAGGGGATTGGAAATCTGTGTGTGCACGTACTGTGTGATGTATACTTGTACGTATATGTGTCGAACCCTTTAATTACTCCTGACTCTCCACGTCGTGCGCGTAAATAAAGCCGCACCGTGGGATTTTTTTACGAACCTTTATTTATATGTATTTTATAGTTTATAGAGGATTAGCCCTCGAAAGGAATTAGCGATTCGTCGCGGGTGTAAGTAAGGTCAGCTGTCTGTAGAATTGAATTGTTCTCGACGTTGAAGTAGCGCATTTTACCTCGTGAAGAACGAGTAATGAACGGGTCTCCGGTTTGTGAACAGAATCGCGACGCGTCGGTGGTCACATACGAATGGCGTACGAAACGTCCCGGCAAACCGAATTCACGCACGTTTGTCGAGATTGTGCCTTTCAAACCTTACGCAGCTGTCAGAGATCATCAAAATTTTCCGAACGAATCAAAAATAATATGAAACTAGTCAAAAGCACGATGTCCGTGGGTCTCGTACGTCGACTATCGAGTTCAGCAATTCACGTCGGGAATGCATTAAAGTGTTTCATATCATTAAACCAAGTCTCGGTTAAAATGTTAGAATTTTTTTTTAATACTTCTGTTCACGAGTTTCAAACGTTTCTATAAAAAAACGTCAGAGATTATTTTAATTGCAAGATTACAGTAAATCATTGAACGTAATAAATTCTGAATGAAACTTCTTTTCTTTAAGCTTGCCAATTTTTTTATCTTACAAGACAGAACACGTTTCATTCGGTTATACGTCGCGTTGTGAGATTCGTGAACGGAGGTGTGTTCTAACGAAGGTAGACAGCAGTTCGTGAATCGCTGAAACTCGGTAGGGAAATATAATCAAAATGTGTCGATGAAATTACTCGATCGGCACCTTCCATCAAGTTGTTAGATGTCGTCGATGGGATACGTGATTCGTGTACCGACGATTAATTATATAAATATATCAAATATATATATTTAAAGAAATATATATATATATATATTGTACTTATATGTATAATGGAAGAACGAAGAACGCGCGACGAAAGAAGGTATGTAAGTTGTTTAGTAGACTAATTAGGCGACACGTATTGCCGCGCGGAGAAACGTATAAATAAAAGTGAACAATTATCGCGAAGATAGGAAGTCGAAAAAGCCGAACACCCTTCTACAGGTGAATATCTCTTCCGAAGGGAACGCACGTTACTTCTTGCATTCAGAACTCATTTCTCATTACTTAGTTGAACATAGAAGAGAAAAGAATATCGTCACTTCTGTGTGTTAAAACGTAAGCGAAAAATGAAAAGACTAATAGAGATGGTAAGACTGTAGTTTTAACTTCGGACAATGTCAAATCTTTATCGGAAATCTTTGATATAATCCATTTTCATCGCACGTTTAATATTCCACTCATTAAAACCATACTGGGACCTTTAAATTTCGTTTCTAAAATCGACGTTTCTAGGATCTCTTTAACATTGACAGTGCGATATTGTCTCCAGAATGTCACTGACTTCAAATATTAATGAATTTACAAGGGAATGTGTAAAGCTTATAAATGTGACGTATAAAATTATTCACAATATCGAAAGCGTTTTTTTAAACTGATACTATGAACGTCTCGTTCTGCATGGAAATCCGCAGTCTCCATCGTTGATGTTCGGTTAGATAAAATCACAGGAATTTAATTGTGATATTGGGAGTTGGATTATTTTCTTAATTAAGAAATTGTTCGTTTATGATCGAGTTCTGAATACTGTACGGGCGCCTAGGACTCGCGTTGATCGATCAATCGGTACATCGACTTGACATAATTCGTGCCAGCTACCCTGTACCTATAATGGGACCAAATCAAAAGGAGAAGCTTTTATTTCGCGTTCACCGTCGCGCTTACGTCCCACCGTATTTTATCGCGTATCAAAGCCTGTCCTCGTTCTGTTCGTTCGATCGGTTCGAACAAGAGCCAAGAATCCGTGACCCACCTTGAAATCATTTGAAAACGGTCAGACTCGAGAAAACGCGTCGACAAATTAACGGCACCGTTTTTAATGAAATAGTGACTTCGAGGCGAGCGTCAAGAAGTTCAGCGTGTTCAATGAATTCTCAACTTTTAAAGTCGAACAAATGCGGTTCGGTCGTACGTTGAACGCGTTGAACATTCGTGAAAGTAAATGAACGCGATTCACGAGGAACAAGGGCCGGGAAAAATTGTCCCGTCGAGCAAGCAGTCGGCTTGAACATTGCCTGTTCAATGTTCAATCTGGTCGACCCGAGTTCGTAATGGACACATTGATGCGTTAGTAGAGGCACTTAAACGATGGCAACGTTCGACTTTTTTGTTCCCGGATAGGAACGTCCGAGAGGCACGGAATGATGTAAATGCTGTGATTTGTTTTAAAATTAATCGATCGTAGATTATAAAGGTACTCGCAGCAGGTGAAATGTCTGCTGAAATATCGTCGCGGCGTCAGGGGAGGCGAGTTGTGATAAAGAAAAATAAAGAGAGAGAGAGAGAGAAATGAAACTCTGTATGTAAGGAGTTTCAACGATACGCGTCGTTGTTCGTCTTAGAACAATCGTTGTTTTAACTTTTGGATTATTGTATAGCGTCGTACGAAGACACGAACCACTTTACGGAGGTCCAAACTTTAGAAATTTTCTATGATTCGTTTTACTCGTTTAACGGTGATGAAATGGGCCGAATTCTAACGAACCAGCGTTTTACTTCGAGTGGACCAAAAGTTAAGACAACCAACGGAATTATATCTTCGATTCTATCACGCGGAATCTCGTCGTCTCGAAAACGTGAATCCTACCTGTACATTGAGGAAATTTTAGAAATGCGTTAATTACTTGAAAATTTTAATAATTTTGTTACTTTATCGATCTGCTGCCGCAGACTGTAATATAACTAGAAATAACGATTCTACGTCTTACGATTTTAAGGGACGAGAACGTGAGCCCATAATCCGCGTTTCATTATTGGCAACGATATTAAGCGTAGAGATAGTAACCGTCAGCCACCGAAAGAAACAACAAAAAAAAAGAGCAAAAAAAGTGTGTGAGAGACGGAGAGTGTGAGAGAGAGCGAAAGAGAGAACAGTGTCAAAACGATTAAACAAAACGTAACTCGTATTATAAACACGTAAACGACTTTCTGTCTAATTAATTATTAGCGAATCTATTCATTCTAATCACTAGGGAAATGTGTGTTAACGGATCGAATGTATAGGGAACGCGAATCGATTTACGAAATCATTGTACATCTCTTTAAATCCTACAAGTGCCAAGTTGGTGAGAAAAAGTCCTTACAAAGGCTCGTGTTATTAAGTATCAAATTCCGACGCAAAAATGAAAGAATGAAGTATATTTCGTGAGTGGTTCGACACTGTCAGTTTCCCAGACCTCGTGGAGGCTTCGCCTCCGAACGGTTTGAGATATGGACGAACTTGATTCGAGCGTCATTTTATTTTCCGTCGAATCTCATCAACGTCGAAAGCGAGGAAATAGCAATTAATAAAAATGAAATGCAAGGAACTGACAGAGTCAACGTAGGATACAGCTGGACACAATAATAACACCGGTATTATTGAGCTTAAATTTCACTTTTAATTCGGACACGTTACGGACAGTTTAACGGAACGGAGTCCTTTAACGAGATCGAGCAGATAACAAAATGTTTGAATAATTTAAAGATCAAGCGTAAACACAGTGCAATGAAAATAAACGGATGTCTATACGACGGTACAGAATTAAAAAGAGAATCATGAGGATAGCGAATCAGTGTACCGTTTCTTTTATTCCCTCAGTTGCTCCCGAAGCCGTACCTATCCGCTCCCATCGTCTTTCCTTTCTCGTCGAGGTCCTGCGGGATCCTCGGAACCTCGGCTGCCATTCACAGGATCACCGAGAACGGGGAGATCCTGTCGCGAATTATGCCGGAACAATGTTGCTGGTTCGCCACTCAATCCAGGTGCGGAGTATCCAGAATTTCGGACAACGTCATGGTAAGAAATCGATTAAACGGGTCACCTTCTCTACGATACTCGAGATCTCTCGCGATCGTGCCATCTCAAAATTAACTGAGCCAACGTATATTTAATTGAAAGCAAACTGGAGAGAATAAAGTGAATCGCGTCGAATGAAATTTATTTAAAAACCTGTAGAACTGCACGGCTTTCTTGGACTGTTCTCATCACGCGAGGGATAAAGAATGGTTCTGCCAGAACTCGATGAACCATTCGTCGGACGTGCTTCGCCAGCGAGAGAATTACGAGACTTTTGCGAGCGAAAGGGGTGACGGTAACTACGTTATAATCGGTACGCCTGGGAACGCGGATCGAAACGGTGGCAACAATTCCCAAAATAAAGAGTTCGCCAATGATACTCGGAGACAAACGATCCTGAAGATGGAGAACGGCTCCCCGAAGCAACAGAACGCTTCCTCTGGCAAAAAGAACGTTTGATGAATCCTAACGTTTTATAGAGTCACGCTATTTTATTTTCCTTTCCAAGGCTGAAGAGCGTAGAATTTATTAACAAATTCTATGATCAGTTCTTGAGCGAACGTTTAGCGTGGTCCATTTAATACGTTGAATTATTGTATCGTTTGTTTTAATGAATTTCTCTCTTACTACTCTTAAGTAACGTTTAATGGCAGAAAATTATACTGTATTGTCTTGTGTACCCTTCAATTTAAAAAAAATATATAACGTTTATTCAGCAAAAATGGAATATGGTTTTATAATAGGATTTTCGGAAGATTCTATGCAAGTGAAAGGGACAGTACCGCTTCCGTGTGTTTCCGTAAAGGATTCGCCGGTAGAATGCTATTTGTAAATAGAGGAACAAAGACCCGTGGACCGACGGATGGTTTATCACGGTGATCGTAATCGTAGATGTTTATTGTAGATGAGCCGGCATAAAGCGGCGTTCTTCAAACGCGACGAACGAACATCGTGGACCTCCCAATCCGTCAGGTGAGCTACCTAAACGGCAGGTAGCGTCGGACGGGATATCCGTATCGTAAAAGAGTCGCACAACCCGTTGAACATCGGCTCGGATTTCTCGAGGTAAAGGTTTTTTTTTTATTGCCACCGTCGATGAATCCGAGGTCCCATGACTGTTTCATTGTTTAATTAGAAGGGCTAATAAATCCATAAAGGAACGATGAATAGAAACGAGTGTCATCAGTTGAAATTCAAAGGGAATGTTAATAATTATTTCTCTAAGATCTTATTCTGTAGCTGTCAACAAAAATCGTTTTAAAATTTAATGTTGTGGACGTCGAGCCTGCGACGTCTCCTCGGCTTGAAAGTCATCGGTCATGCGACATCGATTTTGCTAATAAACGAAGTGCACACCAGCGACCGCTGAACAAATTAAGGATCGACGAGACGAAGACGAGTCTCCGTTACGTCTTACGCGAGCTCAACACCGATATCACGACTTTTCCCTCGACAAAATTACTAGGACAAATATCAGTCAGGGCTGAATAGTTGCTTTAGCCAGCCAAAACCGCGCGCGATGGCAAACAAGGAACGGTCCTGCTCAAATACTCGCGATACATCGGCCAGCCCGACGTAACTTGCTGTTGATTTTTGTCATTTGACTCGAAACGGTCAGTCAGTGTGTCTGTTCATCGAGACGGTCAACCGTTTCCCTTGCAACCGTGATCTTCTTCAACGGAACGAGCGTCTGAACGACGGGGGGGCGAAATGAGTTACGATTAAAATCTCAATTTTTAGATACGTGTAATCCTTGCCAATTTGGAGAACGTTTCACAGAACGATTTGTCCTTCCGTTCCAAATGAGATTATCCACAGTTCGAATTACTAGAAGGGACTGTCCGTTTCTAAGAGACATATTCCGTAAGTAATTACCATAGTTCTCGAAAACATGATCGACGTTTCCAAATCCATCAGAGGACACTCTCATTGAAACGCGAGTGAACGTGAACCACAGTCTTCTTCAAATTGTTTCACCTTTCTACGACCGATCTACATATGCGATCAGAGTTTCTAGTCGCTGCACTTTAATCATCGAGTAAAAAGGAACACCGAAAACTGGCCGAACGTACGAGCGAGTAAACAAATCGCGCGTGTGTCCACGCTGTAGAAAGAGAGACCGACGTTGAAGTTTCCTGGTGATCGGAACGCGCGTACCGTCGGAGACGACTGTTCGCCGACGTGCGGCCGCGTGGGCGGACTGGCACCCCTCGCGGTTTCCAGAGGATCGACCAACCGTCGTGGGATCGTAAAATGGTCCCGCACATCGATTGGCCGAGGAAACGAAGGAAAGGCGGCGTCGGATGTCCTCTATCTTTGTAAAACGATCTGACCGCCAGTGGAATCGCTTTGGTGGGCGCCGGTTTCTGGTTGGGTGCACCTCTGGGTGCCCCGCCATGGCTGCCCCCGCGGCTCTCCTAATTTAGAGTCTAATTAGCACCCGGAGGAACAGGAGGACCGGTGCACGGACATCGATTGGACGGTTACCATCGCTTGCGATAAAGAGGAGAAGGACGTAGGACAGAGACGACGATATCTCAGCAGTCGAGTCTTCAGCTCGTCTTCGCCGACTAGTGTGAAATATCGCGCCCAAGTGTTACGAGCACGGCCACGCGGCCGCGGTACTGAATAGTCTTCTTCGAGAAACGCGTCTCCCATCCTTCTTCGACCGATCCGATCCTCCTCTTCCGCCTTCGAACTCTTTTATTCAACGTCCTTATGAATCGTTGATCTAGAAATCGAGTTTTATCGATTTTTCCTGTTTCCGCCTTCTCTTCTGTTATCTCGAGGGCTTCGTTAAAACGGTGTTCGATGGCGGATTTATAACAAACACCGACACACCCCGTCTCGTTGTTTTGGAAATTGACAAAGGAATAAGTGTCCGAAGTGCACTTCGGTGAACCTCTTCCGAGTGGAAGCTCGGGTCGCAGAGGTCGAAGGACGATACGGTCAAGGAAGAGGGAAGATGCAGCCAGCACCGACTACGCCTGGATCTCCGCGTTCATCTTGTTGTGAACGGGATCGTGAGAGAGAAGTGCTCGAAGACCGTGAAAGAAGGAACAGCGTCGGTAGGCAGAGTCGAGGCACTCCTGAGGAAGAACAAGAGGATAGAAATAACGAGAGGACAGTGGTTTCCGGGCAGAATCTCGGCGCCATGACCGTCACCGGGAATCAGGGATTACCCCTTTCGTTGTCTCTGGAGGACAGGGACTTGTGGACCAAGTTCCAGTGTCTAACGAACGAGATGATCGTCACGAAAAACGGAAGGTGAGTTTAGAATTTTTTACGAATTGCTGTATACCTAACAACGAGTAATCGTAATTCTTATGATCGCAATACGTCTCGCAAGGGGCCGACGGCGGGAGGGGGGGGGGGCGGTTTCGGTGGGATGACAATAAATTGGAAAAAAACATCGGTGCATCGGATATGAACGATTTAACGTCACGCATGAGTCATTTGCACATTTAAAATAGTAATCACAAGTTTCACATTTGAGACGCTCGAGCTGGTTGAAAGATCCAAAGCAAAGATGGCTCTTCACCGTGCGTAAAAATGTATTAATTAGACCGTCGGTGCGAACGAGGTGGAAGGTAAAAATAATAGTTCTTATACACCGTTGTGAGAGTGGAGGGGAAAAAATGCAGCATGTGTATAATGGAAAAAAAAAAGGATCGGTGCAAGACGTTACGGGGACTTGCAGATGAATCATGATTATCGTAACGGATCAGTATTATTTCTTCAACTAACGAGAAAACCGCGATTAGCGACAGATATCTGCTTGGTCGAACACTTAGCGCGTTTTCTTTATTTTACGTATAGAAGAAATGAAGACGAGGAGTGTACATTTGTCGCTTTCTGAGAGGCGAAACGAAGTCCGTGGTAAAGGAGTAAAATGGACGAGGAAACATTTAAGTGGTACAATATTCAGCCGGCGGATCAAAGATATTCGCCAATGGCGTATCCTGACTAGTTTTATGATTCGTATACTATTTAAAACGATTACGGCCCGTCGACCGCGTTTTTCATGCACGCAACCATCCACGGAGAGAAGATTTTATACAGGATCGTGGGGATCGTAAAATTTTATTGCCGGCGGCTCGGTTCTTCTGTCCGCCGCCTTCGGTGTTACTTTCCTTAGTGTTTATAAAACTCATCTACCGCGTGGCACGGGCTTATCGCTTTACAAAACGTGGTAGCTAGTACCATCGAAAATTAAATTTAAATAACGACGAGGGGAACGCGGAAACAGAATTTCTGGTAGCAGCTACGAGGACTCGCATTCTTTCAGGCGGATGTTCCCCGTGGTAAAAGTGGTCGCGAGAGGATTGGAGCCGAAAGCTATGTACACCCTCCTGCTCGAATTCGTCCAAGTGGACCCGCATAGGTAATGATGCGTACAATTTTCGGAGACCCTACGCACTTCCGTAAAGTGGGAGAATCGATGTTTCTAAATGTAAAATGTAGTAAATTTTCCAAGTCTCATTCGCAGATGGAAATACGTGAACGGAGAATGGGTCCCAGGTGGGAAAGCGGAAGTCGCGCCGCCGAATCCTATTTACATCCATCCGGAGAGCCCTAACTTCGGATCTCACTGGATGAAGGAAGCGGTGTCGTTCGCTAAAGTGAAACTGACCAACAAGTCCAACGGGAACGGGCAAATCATGTTGAACTCGTTGCACAAGTACGAACCCCGGGTTCACCTGGTTCGCGTAGACGCGGTGGAAGAGAGGACGGTAAGGTCACTTTTCAAATTGCAGTAAAACTCGAACGCTATGCGAACGATGTATAATTTTTTTGTCGACTTACAATTCGTCATGAAACGTTTCAAGGTCCTCACGTACCGTTACCCCGAGACACAGTTCATAGCGGTGACGGCTTACCAAAACGAAGAAGTCACAAATTTAAAGATCAAATACAATCCTTTCGCGAAGGCGTTCCTAGACGCTAAAGAAAGGCCCGCCGATCCTCAAACTTATCCGCAATGTAAGTTAACAGACATTAAAAAAAAGTAGGAACAACGAAAGTCGGAGGAATGTTTAAACGCTGAAGCGAAAGTCTATCTGAATTTTTTAATTCCCTGATATAAATGTTTCTACCGGTTAAAGAGAGAGCGAATGGACATTGAAAAATAACGAATTATGGATTCCAGACACCGGCGCTTGGTTTTTACCACAACCTACGATGGGATACGAATATAACACAGCGACGGCGATTGCGGCCGCGCAAAATCAAGCGTCAGTGACGGTTAATAATCATCTCTCTAATTCTTGCACTGTTTCTACAGCTGGCCACAGGAACACTTGTCGATCGACGCCTTACACTCTGAGGCACAAATACATTCAAGACGGTAAGTTCTTCGACCCCCTGCAAACAGGGCCGATTGAAAAAGACTGTGTGCTTTTCCAATTTTCGCGACGTGCAAATTTGAAAATGCACGAAGCAAAGTTTGCGGTAATTAAATATTGAAATTATTGCAGAACAACGCGCGGATCCGTACAGTTCAGTACAACTATTGCATTCCACAGCGTACGTGGCACCGCCGGGATGGTCGCCACGCAGCCCGGAGTCTCTACAGAACTTGAACCCGGCTTGTCTGCCGGCGGCGCAAGAGTGGCCGACGTCTCCTTCGCCGTCGCCGACCTCGTCCTCGCATACGGTGTACAGCAGAGGAGTCGTCGGTACGGCGTCGCCGACCAGTGCCACGGGATGCACGCTGTACGTGCCGTCGAACCTTTCGTCCGTTCCCCAGGAGCACGGTCACTGCACCGACGCGTCAGCGTGGATTCACCCCGCGACCCTCTCGGAGCAACAACAGCAGCAACAGTCTTACTTGAATTTAAACCTACACCTGCATCACCAAATGTCATCCTCATACACGCCGGTTCCGTCTCACGCAGGGCTTCACCACTCGTTACACCCGAACGGTACCGACACGGTCCCACCCGTCGATGATTACGTTCACGAGTATCACGCCTCTCCTGTGCAATCGACCACGCCCGATCGTCACCCACAGCATCATTCGCAAATGATACATCTGCAGCCGATGCAACAAGCCGGCACGGTGTCACCGGTTAGCGTAGAATACGACGCTCCGTCGAAGGAGCATCATATACATAGTTACTCGGAACAAAATGCGGATACGCTGAACGATGTCCAGTCGGACGAGAACCGAAGATATCTAACGACGGTTATCGATAGACATCATAGACAGGAGACGGAAATCGCGAATAACGAGCATCAAGCTTCCGCATGGACACCGCTGACACCTCCCCCGGCGCCGCAAACGACGGCGATTTGATTTAAGTATGTGATAATCCCGGTTTTGTTCAAAGGTACGAAGTTGCTAGTTGATATTTGTTTTAATCAGGATTAGCGATCTGAATCGGATATCTGATAGTAAGTACGCGTAATAAGCTGTTCGAGTATCCCCTTGGGTGCAATACGTATATAACTAATCAAAACGATTAATAAGAGCGATGTATAAAGTACCGTGGAGATACGGATATGAAGAGAAATTTAAGTGACGAGTAGATTAATATTAAGCAACTATTAAACTAAATTGCGTGAAGTTCACAATTGTCAATGTCAATTTCAGAAAAAGTAATCCGTCCGAATATCGTGTCTTAATGTTTTTAAATATGTATTAGAGATGATATAATCATTACAATAAAATTTAATAAACGTTTCAACTTCCTCGAAGATTTAATTGTCAGACGATTAGCTCGGAAATGATATACATAATTTATTCAAAAGTGCTGTACAGGTACCTTTACACAAGAAAGATTGAAGGCATTCTAATATACAAATATAAACTTGTATTTACTACACACAATGATTATAATTTAATAAGGTAGTGATCAGCAAAATTTTTACAAAGCAAATAAGGGATTTAATAAATTCTTGATCTGTACATGACTAATAGAATAGTAGAATGGAAAAATACGTAGAAATGCTATTTTTCCTTTCTGAATGCAATTCAATCTATACAATCTATTCCTATATGTTATATTAAATACAAGTTATTTAATTTTGTACTTCTAATTCTCTTCTCCTTTACATTTATAAAAAGCAATGTTCTGATCGTATCACGCGATGATCAAAATTATCCAAACCAGTGATTACCCATACAATCTCTTGTCCATTCCGTTTGACACACCCAACACCAGTGATAACCGCACCCCGCTCTAGTGCAAACCATGTGCATACATCCTCCTAAAAGAATAATGTCTCCTTAAGCTTTTCCGAGTAATTTACATGTTTCAGTTTCTTCGAACATCTCAAAATACCATCTCTCTCAGTAGGTGTTCTACATTTCGGACACGGTTTTGTCGAGATTTTTATTGTCTTTTTACTAGCTTCATCCCATCTCACCTAAAAAACCCATAAGATGATATCGATGTGATTAAATGAAAAAGTAATTAATGTCAGATGTATTACGTACTGGATCGACGGAGTACCCAGATTTCCATGTCCCGTTATTAGATTCAGACGGTTGCGATTCGCATTCTCCTAGATGGTAGCCTTGTAAACATCTTCTACAAAAGACGTACTGTGTGTGACAGTACATTATTATTAGCTTCTGATTAATTAATATTTGTCAACTGTATTTATCGATAATTACCCCACAACCTCCAAAACATTGAATTCTTCTACATTCCTCACTACCATCGTCCGGAGACTCCGGTATAATACCCATACCACAATCTGGTCTAGGACACAGAAATCCGCCAGCACGTAAAACATATTCCTCTGTACTGAATTTCTGATACTGCTCGTACTATATAACATACTTACAGTTAATATTTGTGAATGCTAGTTAGTAGTGTCTGCATGCCTTATAGAATACCTGTTCAGGATTAAGAAGATGAAAATGATGTACTTCCGGGATAAAAGAATTTGCACAGCCTGCTGGACATGGAAGCGTGTAATAGCCCTTGGTGTCGTCAAATTGAAACTGACGTTCTCTCAATCGAACCGAACAATACTCCTTGAAGCAATCGAGGCAAGTTACATGACCAGCCTCGCAAGGGAAAACCAATACCATGTCTCTACAAATAGAGTCATATTTAAGAACAATGCTACCCATCCTAATTTCACAGATTATTCACCTGACGTCTGTGCAAGCGAGACATGGTATTTTTGCCAAGTTCGGTTTTATGAGGTAAAGAGGAACTGCTTCGTCTTTTTCTCCCAGGCTAGCGTGTTTCCCACATTTAAAATAAAATCGTGCATACAAGACTTGAGATTCAGTGTCATCATTCGAGACAGATCCAGGTGCTGGACAGAAATCGTTTTCACAATGAACCGTTATTCTTTTCGGCTGTAATACGTCTGGCCAGCACTGAGGATCTCTGTCCACTGTGACTGCACCGCTATTGCACGTGGCACATCTTACTCTTAATTTGCCAACAGTCACAGTTCTGCATGGTGTCGAACAATATACGAAAAAATGTGCTCTGTTTTCTCTTGGTTTCTCTGTAAGGATAGTAGGACTTCTATGTGCTCACAGTTACTTTTGTTATTGCAAATGTTTATATTTAACCATTTGTGTTTACCCTTTAAAAGGCTATGATTATTCTACCTTCCATGGAAGAATTCTCTTGTGGATCTGATTCATCGAAAGGTAGATCAGTCAGAGTTTCATTCATGGGCTTCCCACCAGTGTCATTTAATTCAGATATTTCAGCAGATTCATCAAATACGTTTGACTCTTTACTTTTGTTTAATCTCTGGGATGTAGTTCGAATAGCATGTAGTACACTTTGCTGGCCCAAATCACATTCCTCAAATAAAAACGACAATTAGTCGAGGTTACCTCAAGTATACTAAACTTGTATTTTAAACTACGTATTGTCTATTGATAATTTTGTGACATATTCGAGTATACCTCTATTATCGTCGAATTATGTAACTCTTTTCCCGCAAATATTATTTTTATGTCCTCAGGTGATATTCCCATTTGAGATGCAACTATTTCTTTCACATTCTTTATATCCCATTTTGGATCTAGATTAACGGCAAGCGTGTTTCCCGTGTTGGTTTTTACGTATATGCTCAGCGAATTTGTTATGTTCCGCTTACCGAACCAAATTAATTCTAACATCCTAAGGAATACGTCTCGTATGAAGTCGAAAAAGAAACTCATAATGTTCGTACGTCGCTTGTTCTGACGGTCTTAAGATGAACAAGGATGGGGCCGACCGCGTGCAGAGCTTCGTCTGATAGAGAGAGAAGAGAAACAGAGTCTTTCTCTGTTCCTTCTGTAACATTAAAAATCAAGCGGCGCGGGAGCCGTAGTTCTCCACTTGGATTAGTTATTCATACATACAGTATCAATTTCTTTTTTATTTGTAAATGCAGTCTTTATTTTAGAGGGGTGTATAAATTGTATATGAATTTAAAAGATAAGAATGATAATTAATATGGTGTGTCCGTATAGAAGGTCCTAATTTTTTCGGTATATGTACTAGTTTCTCCAACCATCTCACTCAAGTCAGTATCTAATTTTTTTAGACGTTCTGGTATATCGGCAGTTGATATTATTTCCTTCCCATCGAAGAACTGGAAATTTTGTCACATCAAATATAGACTATTTCTAAATCAATAGGAAGTTACGTCTAATAATATAAGTATGACGAGAGATATAGAACCTTATCCACAGAGGAAAGGATATTAGACACACGTTCAATAGGGTCATCGAATGATGGCAAACTGGCACGTTTTTCATTTGTCAGCATTTGCCACAATCCATCTGATCCAAAGTCTTGTATGAAATATTGTCTCTCCTTATTGAACGTCAAATTCCAGTCAGTCTCTTCATCCTTAGTTTTAACACCCTGTTTACGTTCCCAGAAATTATTCAAATGCACTTTGAACATTAAACGTTAATATTACCTCTGCAATATCTATAGATTCTTTTGTTTCAGATTCACAATTTTGAGGTAACTCCTTATGTTCATCCAGGTACTTTTGTGAATCATTGAAGTATTGCACAGATTCAAGATAACTTAACTTTGGCTTAATTGTGCAGGTAACGCTATTAAGATCTTTATTGAAAAGTTCAGGACGTTAAAGCGTTTAATTTAAGTATCTAACAGAGAAATATCACTGCTGTACCTGATAATGAAACTTCTTTACATGCACTCGTAACGTCTTCAATCTCTTTCTCATCATTAAGTTCAGCTGATTCTATGAATATAGATTCAATAAAATTCAATAGTAGGCTTAAAAATGACAATTGATTCTCTACTGAACAGTTTCCCTGCAAGATAATTATTTTACTCGCATGTGAATAATGCAAAGGATGTGAATAAAATCTACGAACCAACAATAACTGCTTGTCATTACAGATGCCCATTTCAGAGTAGCACTTTAATAACTCTGCTGCAAGATAAATATGAATAGCTTGGTAAAATAAAGAGTACCGAATATGATACATGGAATATTATACAGATTAAATTCAATTGTCATTTACAACCTTCTAAAGTGGGCCCTCTCAAGTTTTGCAATTTAGTAGCCACTGCAGGAGTTGACTTCTCTATCAGAAGCCAAGATAATAACGAAATTCGATTTTCACCACTGAGGATGGTCGATTGTATATTTTTAGAAGAGGCTCCTGTAATTTTTGGATATCTTATATGTCTCAGAACAATATAAAACTCGTCCATAAGTTCTTCCACCTTGTTCATTGTAAAATACGATTTAATCTTAGAAGAATGATTTACTTCTGTTTGTGGATGACGTTGAGCTAATAATTATCAATAAACGTAAACAATCGCGTCACTCGACCATAAAATATCAGAGAGGAGAACAAATTTCATATGTTTATGGGGGTTATGGTGAACCGCAGTGAGCCGGTCTTTCCGTCAGAGATCGCCATGCTCGCTCGCTGGGATTAGTGATCCCCAAGGGAGTTGGCATTCTCGGAATTTTCAGATATAAAATGAGCTACCATCCATGATACAGCTCTTTAAATCAGCTAACAATAAAATAATTAAGCATCAACCGTGCGCGGAGTTTTAGGAGGCGATCACGCGAACCGCGTTATGATATGGAAAAAATGCAAGAGTAAATTGTCACGTGTATTAAGCTAAAACAAGCATTATAATTGACAACATGGAACTACAACGTGAGTTAAAATTGAAATTCCATATTTCCAATTTAAATCGAAAGAAATCTCTACACATTCGTCGACTTTATCAACGCAACGAATGATCTGACGATAGATTTACCGCGTCAAATCGTAGAGGGCATAAGAAAGTCCGTTTTTTCCTCTCGGAATCGGAGTTTCATTGTCAGTCGACACGAAAGGTTTTCAAATGTGTTCGTGCACGTTTATCCTGCGCCGCGCCTGTGTTCGTTGTTACTTGTTACCTATACCTATATTCTCTTAGCTACACGGCATCAGTGCACGCTGGTTCACCGCGCCGGTTACACGGTTGCAGTCCTACGTGACATCCGCTCATTTGATAAACGTCGCAATTTTCGAACATCGTTTACTCTTTTTGTATCGTTTTACTTGCGAAACATTTCGTTAAAATTGAATTCAGTTTGAATCGGGTATTCGAGCGTGTCAAGAATCGCGAGATCTAAATATCGTAGAAGTCGACGGCGAATAAAGAGATCCGAGTAGAGAAGCGGTGTTTGAAAACGAATCGCGATGCCGGCAGACGCGGAGCTCAGTAATCTGCTTAGCAGGAGACAGAAGATCAACGAGGAACTCGAGGAAGGTAAAGAAGTGAAAAAGCAGTACAAATTCGTGAACGTTTACACCGAATTCCACGAGCTGTCCCGTCGCGAAATCAAGCAGTACGAGCAGACGTTCAACAGGTGAGCTTCCGTTTCTTTCTTCCCTTGTTCGTTTTACGATTTCACGGAGGGATCGATGCCTATCGGCGCTCCTTCGTCGAACACGAGATAAAGTGGGAGAGTCGGTTTATATCTACGTGTACGCGAGAAAGATCGTTACCTTCCATGTTGAAAAAAAAAAATGAAATCAAATGATTCAATGGTAATTTAAAAAATACATAAGAGAACGCGTGTGAGGAGAGAAACCCGGCAAATTTCTTTGTGAACGAGAATAGGAATTCTTGGAACTAGCTCGTGCTCCCACATTTTCAAAGGTGTTCGTTTCTATGGTAGTTCTTTGTGGGTAGAAAAGTTTGAATAGCATTGTTCAGATGGTCGGTTAGCTCAACGAAATCTAGTTCACCTATGGACCGTTGTTGAACACATCTTAAATTATATCCTAGCATTTCATGTTAACAGAATTCGCGGTTTTAATTGGACGTAAAATAAAACATAAGGCGTTCGTTGCTCGTTCTATTAGTCATACCGGATAAAAGTCGTAAAGAAACGCGACTCATCAGTGCTGATTCTTTGGCAAACATTTTTCCCAATCGCTGACAGGGAATCGCGTGATAAAACGCAGGGAAATCGAGAGTGAATCACAGCTACTGTCGTGCGCTGTGGTTTCAGTACTTGTTTACGTTTACTCGCTCATGCTCACGCTCCCTTACTTGCAATCGGAGTATTACTCTGTGTAGAGTACATGAAATAAAAGGGGCTGTATCGAAACGCGATCTTGCGTTATCGCTACTGGTATTTCGGTCGTTCAGACCAGAGATAGAACGGCCGTAGTATTAAGGAATTTTATTGCTTTCATAAATATTCACGGCTGGGTCGATTCATAAAACGAATTTTAAACAAACGGTCAATGTATTCGTACTTAAGGTGTTTTTACGGTCTTCTCACGTGTTAGATAGGCGAAAAAAAGGAGGAAATGGAAAAGTCACGCGATCGTTATGAAACCGCAGATGGTAGAATTCGTGACGTAGTTATTTCGTAGCAGCCCGGAGGAAAGAGTCTCTCCGTGAGCGTGTAGAACCGTGTTGTCAGCCAGGAAGGACGACCTCGAGGTCCGTCCTCCGTCTCTCTTGTTCTTGTTACAGGTATTTTGGAGTCAACAGCAGGTTTGACAAGGCAGAAGCGGGGTGGACGATCGGCCACTCGTGCACCTTTAAAAGCCTTGTATCTACGTCACTGTCTTATGATCTATCGAGTGGTTGCACCTTAAGAATGCCACTTTTTCCGGGGCAAATCGTTTTTACGAGTCGAGCTAGATCGAACTTGAATCAAGGAGAGCGAGCTGAAAAGAGTTTGGCTGCGTAGGTTCATTAGGAACGCGAAACTTTCTGTTTCTGATAAAAATAAATCTGATCGATCATTTTCTTCCATCGACGCTTTCGAATTCTACTTGAGAAATAAATAGTCCTCCGAACGCGGCCGCTGATAGAACGAACGTTGTTCAATTATTTATGCGATCAGCATGTAGATAGACGATAAATCTAGCGGTAGGTGAGTTTCACCGCGGAGCTAAGCACGTGGATAAGTATCGCGCACGATGGATGATACCTCGGCCAGAAAGATACTCGGTTCTTTGAACACCGTCACCATCCAAGGAGTTGTCCTTGTCAGAGAAACCGAGTAGCTGCGTTCTTACTTTTCCCTGTTTCTCGGTTTTACCAGTCTCGACCGCAGCCAGACAATTTTCTTCATTTCGCGAAATTTATATCGTCGAATCCCATTATTCCGTTACGAGCTGAGAATTCGCGACTCGTTTCCCTCGGCCAGTCGACCCAATATGTACTTAGACGAACTATCGACGTTTCGATCGAATAAAAAATCAACGAACACGACGTTAAATTCTATTTCGTAATTAAAAATTAATTATCGTTGTTGGAAGAAAAATAGTTAATTATGTCCTCGGAAAATGAGCTCGGAGTGGAATTCGAAACCGTCAAGTCCGACACATGTACGCAATTTAATCCTCTGTTCGTAAATAAGCAGTAATAGCCACTTTAAATATTTAAGAAGGTGACATTATGAAGACAACTTTTTGTGTTACACGATAGTGTCAAGTACCTACGTGCATTAAAGAGCCTGAGGAATAAATATTTCCTTTAACAGGGCAACGAAAGAGTTAATTTATCGGGAAGGATCGCGTCTTTGATCATAATTAAGAAGTTGCTTATACGAATGATTTTATGACTCATTCAAGTGTGAAATTATCATGCTTTCGTTAGTTCTGACTCATTAAAGAAATAAGGATGATAGTTTTATCTGGCTGTTATCTCGAACCTCGGAGTTCAATGTTCATACGGATTTGTTAAATATATTTAATTTTCTTCTATTTATTTTCGATACGATTTATCTGTAAGTCTGTTGAAGTCGAAGATATGTAGCTAGGTGTCTTTCATAGAAAAAGAGAATTTCAATTTTGACCAGACTAGCGGATATGTATTTACTGATATTTAAGTAAATACTAAATACTTATCACGTCCGAGTCTCGTGTGACTATAAATATGTATTATCTCCTTTTATGCAGTACTCTGATAATAGGTTCGCTGACATTTGACAGTAAGGAGCATAGTTTGTCACGTGATGGTGGGTACGATTACATAGCAATACTTCAGCCATCGACTGCAAGTAAATTAAAAAATAAAAAGGTCAGACATTCTACATCTTAGAAAATGTAGCAAACATAAAACTAATTGGTTTCTAATTGAAATTCGTCGAGTTATAAAACTTGTTTCTCGTTAAACAGAGTAGCTGCTCTCGTTTAGTTAATATTTATTTATAAGCAACTACAAGAAAATAGGCTCCTTTTTAATGTGAAACATTTGAAACTCATGAAGTTAGATTTATGGAATAACAGGGAACCCGGATACTCGCGTGCTTGTTTTAAATTTCAGTATGCCGTTACTATGAAGGAACTGATTTTTCTGTTTTACTGGAGAGAACTGAGATTTACTGGTTTCCAACCATGAAATAGAACAATTTCATGAAACACTATCCTATCCTAGAGACCGCGTTGTGAAATTCGCGGGTAACCAAACGACCTTTTACTTTTACACGCGACAAAGAAACCGCAGCCTTTTATTCGCTGCGAACGCGATTCGAGTGGAATGCGTTTTACTTTTCCTCCGTTGTAAAACTCAGCGTTTTTTTAAGTTCTCCTCGTTCTCCTATTACCCTTTCCTCTTGAGCGATAGATCCAAGTAAAAACCGTTCCAATGTGCATAAGATCGATACGCCTGTTACGACGAAATAAATCATTCCCACGTGTAAGCCACGGACAATAATCTGGCCGCACATGACGCATGGTAGTATTCTATATTAGCGCCGTAAAATAATTCAACAAGGCGCTAGGATAAATTACTTCCGCTTCTGGCTAGCTGATCGTGCGGTCCACCGTTCGACGTTCCTAACGCGTCGATATTTGTCCCTTCTAATAACAATTGGGATATCAATTTCATAAACAATTGATTTGCTTACACCTCAAATGCAAAGGGAATTGACACGCGTGTGATGAGCTCAATTGGATCCCGCGTTTCGTTCGGGAAGTTAAAAGGATTGGACGAACGCGATTGACGAGGCCCCAACGTGACAGATGAATCATGAATCACGCCGCGTGCGAACACGCGTGTGAATCAAAGCGTTACGTATATACATGTACTACGTACTTAACTAACAGCCGGTTAGTCACGAGTCTCGAATACACGGCTGGCGTTACCCGATCGCTTCCGGTATCACAGCGCGCATATAAAATTTGGGAACGACCAGCCTCTCTAGACGTGTCCCTCATGAAAAAATGATTCCCGTCGGCATACCACAGTCAGAAACACGGTTTTAACATTCGTTACGCGGCTTTTCACGACCACGCTTACAGTTGTACTCGTGGTTACAGCGCATGCAAGTTGAATTTACGTTCATACCGCTGTAACTTGCAGCCGGATCGATTTAACATGCTTTTTTCGAAAGGCCACGGTTTTAATTACCTGTCTTCTTTTACGCGCTCAATAAAAGTAGGTATCGCGAACTTAATTAGAGAAAAGTAGCAACTGTATCTGAATCCCGGATGTTATGATCGTGAACAACATTTTCATTTAATAATAGTCTCACTTTTGCCACTCAACGCGAAGAGCCTTCTTCTAATTTAGAATAAGCTGATTCCGACGTGATATGGTTCACTCTGATCAGAATGAAAGCTTAATTGCCGTGGTAGTAGGTTCGCTTCACTTTCTCGTGAAATGCATAATCGATGCAACGGTGAACTAGGATTCGGTGTTATCAGAGGAAAAATCGTTTCACTCGGCTTCGGCGAACTTTGTGCGCACGACCTGGGAGTCGAACCGTTACCTCAAAACCATTCGCGACGATCACGCGTCCCGAATACGTGAGACGTAGTTAGAATTTATTCGTCAGACGTCGAGCCGTGAAGGTACTTCGTACCGATCGGGTCCGATGCCTTTGCGAGATTATCTGGGCCTCACGTAGTGAAACCAAATATTACGATCCAGTTCTCTGGTCATTGCATATTTAACACACTTGCATGACTAGGGTTGTAAGAAATATCTACTACAATAACAGAGAAATCTCACTCGGACCCGTCCTTGTCTAAACAGTCTCAAATGGACGGGACCGTAAGTATTCGATGAATAAATGCGTCTGGCAGTTCGCGTCAAATGAAATTATATTTTAGTTGATTCTGATCGTCATATCTATGCCAGCGTATGAAAGTGTTAAAGAAAAATCACACAATGGTCTACTGTCGTTCATTGAGTAGCAGTCATTAGCGTACGGTGAGATTATAAACGTGTCCCGCGATTCAGCGAAAATCGAGTGCCATAGAGAATATGCGAGCGTATTAAGAATCGCGTACAATAAAACCGTTCCGTCGACTTTTTTACTTCCTATTCAGCAGTCACGCTCGATTGCACTCTGCTTAATACACACGCTCGGGTACCGTTCCTCTTTTGTCACACTCTCGGTCGCGTAATCTTCACTATGCGTTCTCGAAGGTAAATGCACTTTGCACGTTCCTAACAATGCGTTTCGTTGCCGTACGTTAGTTACAAAAATGAGGAAGAAGTTTTGTAAAGAAAGGCAAACAAGGATGAACGCGTTTGAAAGGATCTAATGAAGAAATAACTTTCCGTGTTTTAAAAAAAACGACCCAGTATTAGTTTAAACGAGAGCAGTTTTTGGCATCAACCAGGGATTCGGTGGTGGTTCTGGTCGATCGTGCCAAGAATCAAGTAGCTGGAAAAAGAACGCAAAGCCGCAGAGCGGCGATAACGTCCTTTCAAATACAAAAGGAGAATCTCTGCCGCATCGATCTCGCAAAGAATGGTAGTAGAAGGGTGAGAGGAAATGTATCCAGACGGAGTACCAGTCACCTTGACCCAGTTACCTCTGGATAGAGTTCTTGGAAAATGCCGGCGAGCGAATCACACGCGAGAACGAACAATAACGCACGAATTGATTTCACGATATCAAGGTATACATACATATTTCCCAGAGTACGTTACGTACGATCGTGGAGTATTAACTAGGTCACACGCTCGCGCTCCTATCAGAAGAAAACAGATTTCGTGTTCGGCAAAATATGTAACAGCTTTCAATTATCATCGCTGCTGCGATACAGACGCGAAAAGTTGAAAGGTTAAATACGGAGCAAAGGTTGGAAGTTGAAGATCCCAGCCTCGGCTAACATGAGAGATTTCACGCATTACGAGACGATAATGTATCTCCTGGAAATGTGACTCTATCAGTTTATGATCGCAGTACTACGTTAGATAATATGTCGCAATGTGATTGATAGAAGACGTATAAAGAAACTATGAAGTGTTATAATAGGACTTTATAGTTTCATAATGGTACTCAGAACTCCTTTATCTTACAAAGTTATATCTCAAAAACTCTAAATCATTAATCAATATAGATAATTGTGATAAGAATTAAATGATATCAACGCTAAAAAGACTACAAGTAAAAACTGAACCGTGTTTTTTTTACACTTATACGAAAATTCTATTTGCAGAAAATATGACAAACATAGAAGCAATAAAGAATAGATTTATAGTGCTACGTGGACCGTGTGAAATATCAAATCGTTAAAGAGAAAAAGATGTTCCACAATATCGCTGTAGGTTCACGTCGTAGCAAACATAGATTAAAGCTTATCGATTGAATATTCAAATCAGTTGCGAAATCGCAAATGAATAGCAAGAGAGAAGGAAAGATACGTCGAGTTGTAAAGAGAGAAGGATACGTACAGCTTTCTCCCACTCATATTGATCAGAGCCCCGCTTGACCGGGCTTATAATGTGTAACCTCGACCTTCAGACGATTCTTGCTTTCCACTTTGACCAAAAGGAGCTTCCTCGAGTCTCGCTACTTGTTCCTATAGGACGTTTCAAAACTTTCTTCAAGGTTTTTGCCAAACCTTGTTTCGATCGAACCATGAACGTCTCGGGGAAACGTGTGCGAATTTCTTAAGATTTTCTTAAGAAAATTGCTGAATGAAAAGCAAGTTCTACGTATCGTTCTGGGAACCGAGCGCTAATCACGTGGAATTACCGCATCTATTATTATCAATCCAAGTGATTTGGAAAATCCTGGAGGACAGAAAACCGTACCAGAACACGAATCATCCTACAAACTCGACCCAAGTATTTGTATTATAAATACGCGCAATAATTACGGAAGCAATAATTTATGTGTGGTAAGTTTTGCGAAGAAGACCAGTCGATCACGATAATTGGAGCCGGTCTAACTACGTTCTTGTTAACTGTTGCCTGACAGGCCGATTACTCGGTCCAATAATTATACTATTTCTGTATTACTGAAACGAAGGTGCGATCGTTCAATCGTTATCTGATAGAACCGTTATCACGGCGTTACGTGCAAATTAAAAACAGAGATATGCGATTCGAAGCGTATTACGGTTGAGCAAACTCGGTTTTATAGCGAAGGATTACCGAGACTTCTCTGCAACGATCCAGAATATGAATTCACCTCGCCGTGGGAAATTTAATATGCGCGAAGTCTCTCCGGAGTGGAAAATAATAATCTAGTCTCGAGATTCATTAAAATTTTGAAACGTTCGTAACATGTAAATCACCGCGTTCTATCTTTCGCGCGACTTTACGAGTAGCTGTACAACTTTTCCATTTGTACTTGAAATTCCCGGAGAACGTCTATCGGTGTCGAGTAGTAGGATACGACAGATAGGAAGCAGGTGTAAAAGTTAAGGTATATACAGTACTTTTCTCGAGTTCTCGAGCCGATTCGATGGAATTCCGCGGGCTGATTTTATCGCGGTTCGTTGAATCGACAGGGAACGGTGTGGCGTGTACGAGTAACTCCCTTCGAGAGCTATTTTAGCGAATACCCGCCGGAATCGTTTACACGGAAAGTCGATTTCACGAGCTTCCGGCTTCGCGGACGGGCGGACAGCGCACCGTTCAACCCGTTGACATTCCCAACGTTCGCCAGCTTTCGAAATCGGCGCACACACACCACTACCCGATCGTCGATCGTTCTCACGTTCTTTCCGATATACATAATTGCGTTACACGCTAATTAAAGTAACGAGTTACGCGATTGAGGACGTACGCTTTCGTTTGCATTCATTCGGCGTCGAAAAAAAAACGCGGCCGTACTACTCGCTTGGGAAGATCGACACCTTGCCAACAGGATGTTAGGATCGCTTGATTCATTTTGGTCAGAGATTCGATCGAGCCAGTTTCGTATTTACCTTCTCATCTTACGATTCAATCGCGAAAATTAATAGCGGGCGTATCTGATTTCAGGTTCGACGACGGTCACGATGGGTACCTCGACCTCTCCGAACTCAAACGGATGATGGAGGTTTTAGGTGCACCGCAGACGCACCTGGGTTTGAAGGCGATGATACAGGAAGTAGACGAGGACGGGGATGGACGGATTTCCTTCCGCGAGGTTCGCGGTTTCACGTATTAATTATAATTATCGTTCATTTTCGAATAGCTCAATGAACACGCGCCGCCTCCCGTTCACCACTTTTCCTTCCTCCATAACGCGGCATGTAATACCGCGAATAAAAGACAGGAAATAATCTCGTTTGCGTAATCAACTAATTTTACCAGGAATTGGTACCTTCACGGCATAACTTTCCTCCTTTCGCTGTCAGCCATGAACAGCGAAATTTCTTTAGCATCCTTTAACACTTTTTGCTCGCGAGATCATAATATGGTATAATGAGCAGTAAAATTGGAGGAGGATAATTTCATGAGACTGCGTCGCAGTTCGTATTTGGTGCCTCTCGTTGAGCACACGTCTATAAAAATACTCTAAAACCAGTTTATGGTGTACTTCACTGAAATAGAACTTGGCTTGATCCCCACAAATGTGCCAGGGCCACACATGAAGAACAAACACCGGCCATTGCGTCAAGCACCCCGTGGGGCGGACTATTTTTATGAAGGGTGCATGCCACGTGCGAACGCATACCCGATAAATGAGCAATGCCTTTGCGACAAATTAGATTGCGCTGAATGGAGTCTGTTTAGATATTAATAGAAAAAATATATTGTTTAAATGCGAAAGATGCGAAAGATGATGAACAGTGTAACGTTATGGACTTTTTCGTATTCTACTATGCGCGGCGGAATTTTGTAACAGCGGCGAAAAAATCGGAGCGTGCGACTACTCGTTGAACGAAACTTTCGCTAAGAACGCAATGTACGGGGACAGATAAATCGCGAATGCGAAGACACGCGTGCATGCCAGAAAGAAAGTCCTCCGATCCGATGCAAATGCACGGCTGGACGTTCTTACGTGACTTTCCATGGCCCGCGAACAAAGCGTCGCATGCACACGCGAATCGGCTGCCCGGTCTCATAGATCACCGTGAATCATTCGCGTCACTGAACCCGACGCGCTGACCGATCCTCAATCAAACCTTCCTCATTACTCATCGTCCGCTCATCGACACCTTTATCGCTCTTTATGGAATTGAAATAAACACGAAGAATCTGTCATCGAACACCCATTTATGATGAAATATCGCCGTGGCGACGTGGAGTTTTATACGATTTACGTTCGGTCTTTGATCTATTGCAGTTCCTGCTGATCTATCGCAAAGCACGTGCGGGGGAATTGGAACAAGACTCCGGGTTGGGGCAGCTAGCACGTCTCACGGAAGTCGACGTGGACGAAGTGGGAGTCACGGGGGCTAAACATTTCTTCGAGGCCAAGGTAAACGTTTTTATTTTCCCAAACGAAACGAGTACGTGCCACGGCTTTCGGAGTTAAATCACTGTACTTCTCTCGATGTACCAGCGATTAAGCCGCGCGTTGGCGAACAATGATACGAGGAATCGCGGCCATGACAAATTCATGATTCACGAAAGCGTGTCCGCGTTAATTAACGTTTCCCTGGCGCATCAATTAATGTTTGTTTGCAGATCGAGCAGCTACGAAAGGCGAGCAAATTCGAGGACGAGATCCGCATGGAACAGGAGGAACGGAAGCGCGAGGAGGAGGAAAGAGCAGAGAGGCGGGCGCAATTCAGGCAGAAGGCAGCTCTGTTTGGCAATTGAAAGGGAAATTCGATTTGCCGATTGAAAGTATCGAGCCTATCCACGCCTACACCTCAGCGGAATTACGAGCGATCCTCTTAATTTGATTTCACTAGGATTTGGTCAACCAAGAGAATTGCGTAGATTAATTACAGCCTCGTAATCGTGTGACCTGCTTCTTCATTCAACTTTAGGAAATATTTGTAGGAGACCTATAGTAAAGCTGTTCTATGTTAATCTTAAGATCACACGTTGCCATTGAATATTTTGTTGTTTTTATATCTATTTTTAAAAATACATCTGAAAATTGATCGTATGAACCTCTTTTTAGAAGGTCGAATTGTACAATGAAATTTTTTAATAATAGGAAAAAGACGTTTATACTGTGTTATACAGTTGGCAGTGTGTTAAGCTGAGATTTTCGAGATTACATTTTACGTACATTGCTTTATACATGTAATAAGTATTAGCTGTGAACAATGAAATCTTTTACATGTTAGGTAGTTATTTTAATACGTGGACTTTACTTTTTTAAGTCTTTGGGCTAATCTGTATAGAGAATACTTTATATTTTAAGTCGTTAATGCGTTTCTGTAGGTTCGCACTTGGATAGGCATTAAGAAGTATAACGACTGATATTGGTATAAGTGTATCTAGATAAACGTAATCTGTATATGTATGTATATTAATTTGTTTTTATGTATAGAGAAGAAAACATTTCGCAACATGCGTTGAATGTAAAAATATTTTCGAAAACTGTCAGATATAAAATATTTTCCTCAAGATTTAAAACCGTACATACATTTGATATACATCGAAGATATTTTTATCGATCGAACGATGTTGATAATTTGTATTTTTATAATGTCCACCGTTGATTTATAGATGAATTAAATTTGTTTCAGTGAAATATAGAACTATTCTAAATTATTTTTGTACGATGTTTATGGAGAAGCGTTAGGGAACTCTTAAAAGGTCCTTGTATAATTGTTGCGAATTGTATGTACAAATGAAGTACATGACGTAATTAAGTTTGTAAAATTATTATGTAAATAAATTTTCTTTGGGTTTCATATGATTATTCGTTATGTTATAAATCCATGTTAACCCTTTCGGTACTACTGCCGCCCGTTGGCGGCATCCACTAAACATTCTCTGAGTCCTACCGTCGCCCATTGGCGGCATCCACTAAACATTCTCTGGGTCCTACCGTCGCCAATTGGCGGCATCCTTAGAAAGTTATGTGGGTGCTACCACTGCCGCCTAGTGGCACCCACGTAAAGTATGTGGGTATGATTACTCTCTATAGTACGCTCCTTGTTTCGAAATCTATCACACCAAGTTGCACTATTAGCTTTGTCATTTATTATATTATACCCTTAGTTTTGTTATTTATTTTAATTTTGTAATACTGAAACATATTATTTATATCAACTCCATTCTCTTTAATTAATGTATTATGAAGAAATAGATGATTTTAAAACGTTAAGCGCTATGCCTGTTTTGTCTGTCTTTCCTTCTTATCCGCGAGATAAGATTCCGTCGAAATCTGATTTTGGCTGAGGATATGTGTAGGTTACGACAAAGCAGTATAAACATTTTAGAAATGTTTTTTAAACACGTTAAATGCCGCATCAGTCACCGATGCCTGTCGCGGCCCGAATGAAAAGTTTAGTGTCAATCACGCTCGAAATTTCTATGAATGCTGCAAAACACGTTTTCGCGGCTTACGCCGCCGTAGAGTGCAACCCCTCTCGTGGAAAACTTCCTCGTCCCACGAATGTATAACTGCGGCCAGCCCCTCCGTACCGAAAGGGTTAAAGTCAGTGGCACTGACAAAATCCTGTCATTCCCCTTGTCGAGATAACAAACTATTGGAAAAAAATTTCATTTTCTCTCAAATACTTCTAATCGTACTTTTAATCGTTGAACCTACGGGGAAATTGTATAGAACCTTATTTGTCGCTGACAACCAGAAATACAATTTTTTTTTCTCAAAATTTCGAAAAATGCTTTAAATAAAAATTGTAGGTACTGCTATTACCTTCAAGAAAGGTCGTGTACAATTTCTTCCTATTTCGAATACTTCAGAACTAATAGATTAATTACTTCGTTCATTTCCAATCATTCCTTAACAAGTGGAATTAAAAGAAAATTTCTTGCATCTGACAACTACAGTTACATATCTGGCGCCGCAGCCGCATAATAAGATTGATCTTCCTGCATTGCTACCAACGTGACGATTCACTGAGAATCGAGCGTATTTTCATTTTCATACAATTTAAAAATAGAACAATTGCATAGTGTAATCGTAGAATAAATTTTGAACATATCCAGAACAATAATTTTCAAGGTATTTATAATACACGTTTTTCTCCTGAATTCGTCTAAAATAGTCTTAATAATTGTTATAATAACCTTAGATTAATCTGAAGGTATTAATATTTTCGAGAGGACAAAGTTTTATGAAGCAACATTTTTTTATCCATGTATTTCTATTTAGAGATAGCAATGTAATCCTATGGAAATTGCCTTCCCCTATTTGTGTTTACTTTTATTATCAGTACTATCTTTATCAAGATAAACGTCTTGTTTGTATCATTATTTTCATCGCAGACTGATAACAGATTTCGAAGACAAGTGGCAGAGTGAGAACGTCTTTCTGCAAAATGGCATCGAGTCAGGTACAAGAAAATTATACATTATATCACAATTCTTGGTTTATAACTAAAGATATTCCATAGGTGGAAAAGATTGTCAATTTGTACAAGACGATAGCAAGGAACCCGTCTTTGGCTGGTGCGAAAATTGTCGAACTTAATAGTAACAAAATATCGATTCTGAGTACTTGGTCTCAGAGGAACTTGGAGAGAAAGTTAAACCAGAAATTTTGCCAGTCTCATATTTTAGATTCGAAGTTCCAAGTACAGTCTGAAACCTTTCCCATCGACGTTACAACAGAGTACGTATTACATATGCTTCTTATAAAAATATAGAAAATGTATATCTCTTTTTAAAAAGACTTGGTACAACAAATTTTCTCTTATTCAAGACTTTTGTCTTCCACCACCGAAGACGAACAATGTAGGGCTGTCGTGAGACAAGCTACAAGTGAAAATACTACTAAACAGTTCATTGAAATCTGGGATAGGCAAAGACTTGTGAAAAATTATGATTTGTCTGCTTTAGATGTGCATGGAGACGTGTACGCAGACGGTAATAATTGATTTTATTAAAAGAAGAAATTGTACGATTCTCCTTCATGCTTAGAGCTCTCATGCTAATAAGAAAATCTTGTTGCCAGCTGAATTTGCTTCCCTCGAGTGGTCCCCAGATAAAACTAAACTATTGTATATAGCCGAAAAGAAGCTTCCAAAATCTGAACCATTTTATAAACAGAAACCCATTAAAAAGGATAAAGATAATGAGAAGAAGGATGAAGATGAAGTAACAGCAGTAAGGATCTTTGATTTATAACGATGCTGAATTAAATCTTGTTTAACAAAGACGTTCCAATTAGGGTAATGAATACCTTTACAAACCTCATTGGGGAGAACAATTGGTAGGCAAACACCGTCCAGTTGTCGCTGTCCTTGATACGACGACAGATACGATCTCTGCGCTCTCAGGCATACCAGAGGAATTATCACCCGCTCAAGTATTATGGACCGACGACGGGAAAAGTATAGTTGGCGTAGCATGGAAACATGAGCCGAGACATTTGGGCCTTATTGCCTGTACTAATAGACTCTCGTGGATATTTTTATGGAAAGATGGAGAGTACAGTAAGACATATCCTGATGCCGAATCGTAATTTAAAATTGTATGTACTTGCTATGAACGATAATATGTATTTTGTAGAAAAAATTTCAAGCGACGGTTGCGCTGTTCGCCGTCCTCGATTTAGTCCTGATAGAAAGAAGCTCATCTGGTTAGAGAGAGAAGCAGGTGGTCCTCATCATAATGCTCATAGGCTCATGTATCTCGAGCTGAACTCTGAGAATCTGAAGGTAATTCCGCCTGAATCTAACGGTAATTTATAATGTTACGCTACTTTATGATATGTTTTACGAATTAGGCTGATGTACTCGTGGACATTGTGCCATCAAATACAAGTATTAAAAATTCTGAGAAATTCTTTGGTCTGTACGGTACAGTGTTACCACGTCGTTGCTGGAGCTCGGATTCAAGATATATATTTTTGAGCACACCTCAACAGAATAATATTCGATCTTATATTATCGATGCTGGTAAAAATTAAGATGATAATTTATCTTTAATTTTTTTATGTCATTGATAACGGAAATGTGATTTGTAGAAACGAAGGCTATAATCGAGATTCCAAATTATAAGAGTAGTCTTAGTGTCTTGGACGTAAAAAATGACATCATCATCTTTTCGGAAACTTCTCTTTTGCAACCGCCTACCCTCTCAGTGGGAAGAATCGATTCGGAAACAATGAGTAATGGTCATATTAAACGAACTAGAATTCCACCGTCTGCGTTAATCCCTGGTTCGGAAAAATTAGTTTACGAACCTTGCGAATACGATTATGATACGGATGAAGAAATTAGTGAGTGTCTTGTTATTCTTAATACTCTGTTCTTAGTAATTTTATAATGATAGATTTTTTAATATTAATTAAAATTATCGTAGAGCATTTCAACTATATTTATTTCGGACCAAAAAGTGGAAATGATAAGTCTGTACCTTTGATAATAGCTATACACGGTGGACCCCATTCTAACTACGTAAATTCGTTTATACTAGATTACTACTTGTTTGTCTTATCAGGTAAATTAATTTAAACGGTATTTCCTAATAATCAAGATTTCAAGAATTATCAAAATTCGTCTGTTTAAGGTTTCGCAGTGGTACAAGTCAACTATCGCGGTTCTACTGGGATGGGTTCAAAGAACGTTGAATATCTTCAAGGAAGAGTTGGGAGTGCTGACGTAAAGGACTGTATGATTGCTACCAAGGATGCTTTACAAAAATATCCTTGGCTAAACCCAGATAAAGTAGGACTATATGGCGGTTCCCATGGAGGATTTTTAGTTACTCATTTGAGTGGCCAATATCCAGTATGTTCGAGGAGTATTACATTATTTGTTTATCAGACCAATGTGAGATTGACATACGAAAATAAATTTTTTAGGATATGTATAAAGTTGTGGTAGCGAGGAACCCTGTTATCGACATTGCGGCTATGTACACTATATCAGACATTCCAGACTGGTAAAACATTAATGTATTCTTTAAGATATTTCAATAGTTCTGAATTCAATTATACGTACACATATTACAGTCGCAATGCTCTGAGTAAGGAAGAAAGATATAAGTAAGCGTAATTACGGAATTGAAACTAAAAAAAATAAACAAAACTAACAGAACACTGCATACTATGGTCATTGTGTCGTATATAACTTTTACTTCCAACATTGATCTCGTAACGCGTTCGATTTCAGGTGCTGTGCCACAGCGATGAATTACCCTTTCGATGAGAGCGTCCCAGTCTCGGAGGAAGATCAAGTTCAGATGGTCGTAAAAATGTATAAATGTTCTCCGATTGTTCACGTTGGTAAAGTAAAGGCACCGACTTTGGTATGTCTCGGTTCGAATGATCTCCGCGTACCCGCGTCCCAGGGAAAAATGTGGTATCAACGTCTCAAGGCGAAGAACGTTAAAACAAAGCAAGTTCCTTCTTATAAGTACAAAACAAATAGAATTCTTTCTTTTCTAATTTATGTCACGTACATAGTTCTACAGTGTTAAGAGATGTGAAATATTGCAGGATGTTACTTTACGAAGATAACCATCCTTTGGCATCGGGACCAGTTGAGATTGATAACATTATCAATGCTTACTTATGGCTACACGAACATATTCCGACCGAAGAAAACAAGTAGATGTATAATGAAGATAACATAATATCTTGATATACTTAGTTAATTAACCAATAAG